CTACAAGGCGTGTGTGCAGGTGGAGCTGGGTGAGGACTTTCCGGAAGATCCGCAGCAGCAGCTCTGGGGGGCCATCGGTGCTGTGTTTCTTTTTAGTTACAGCACAGTTTATCTCTTTCTTTAAATTTATATATATATATATATCTCTTCTGTCTTTTCTTTCCAATTCCCAAATGCTTCCCTCCCAACAAGGTGGCCCTTGTTGATTTTAATGGTTGTTGGGCAAGGTTCAATTCCTGGATGAACCAACGCGCCAAGACGTACCGCCGGCTCCACGACATCCCGGAGAGTTGGGGCACTGCGGTTAATGTGCAAGCTATGGTCTTTGGGAACATGGGCGAGGACCGAAGTTGGCGAATAGCTTTGGCAAGCCGGGAGGACTTCCAGAAAAACGACCTGGTAGGTCGTTCTGTTTGACCAATTTGATGAGTGGCGGAAGATTGCGTATGTAGAAAACTTTGTGAAACCCTTACACAGTTGTCATTCGCGTCCCATAAGTACTTCACACGTGGGGAGGACTGCGCCACAGGGGTCGCCTTCACGCGGAACCCTTCCGATGGCACCAACGACTTCTATGGGGAGTTCCTGGTGAACGCGCAGGCAGGGCTTGGGGCCAAAGTGCTATTGAACAGAATAAGTCTGCAGTGTCAAAGTCTGGAGCCTGAATGCCGTTTGTAAGTGGGAGCCTGGCAGGGCGAGGACGTGGTCGCCGGCATCCGCACCCCACAGGAGCTCACCATCAAAGCCCGGAAGATCCACGGCAGCGACATGCTCAGCTTAGAGGAGGTCATGCCCGGCATCTATCGGGAGCTGTGCGCCGTTCGCCAGCAGCTAGAAAGCCACTACAAAGACATGCAGGACGATTGTGACACTGTCGCATGAGTGTCGAATGACTGTCGGACGACTGTCGGAGTTCAAACTCTTGAAATCGTCAAGCCATCATGTTTGCGAGCCTTCATTGGGACACCACAGCCCACAGCGCAATCAACCATTTGGTGGAGTCCTTGGTTTTCCCATATTTTATGCTGATGGAGGTTCCAGTGAGCTGGACAGAAGCATGTCAGAGACAAACCAAGCTGAGAATACGACTTTGTTCTGGTTTCAAGCGTCAAAGCTTTGTGCCTTTGTGACATGTTGGCTGCACCTCCTTGCCAGACATATTGTCAAGCTTTTGCCTCTGATTATCAGCATAAGGAACATAGCTAATCTGCAGAAATAATCGAGCTTTACACACTTCAGGATAGCATCACGGGGTTCAGTTGTCCGTCGATTTGTCCGAATCTGTCATGCCGGCAACAGCTCCACGTTGCGTTGCGCTGATTTCAGATAATTAACTTGCTTCGGGCCAGTATACCTGGAGGCCCCATTGTTACACAAATTTGTGTCACGTAAAACATGTTTTCGAGCCATGCTTTTGTGCTCTATGCTTCGAAAAAACAATTTTGCTTTTCAATCTGTTCGGAGGAAGGTGAGCAATTACTACGTGGTTTTCTTTAATGCCCTCGTTAGCGGTGAACGGATTTTGCGCGCCCCTTTCAGCGAACAATCATTTTCGAGGATAAATCAAATAATATTACACCAGCATGGACCCCAGATAGCGAAAAACATGCCGACGATTGTGCTCCAGCAACTCCAACGGCACCCCCTGAAACAGCACTTGCCCACGTCACTAGCACCTCCCACAGCACCTTAAACAGCATCCCAAACTGCATGCCCCCTCGCACCCTGCTGTCAATCTCGCAAAAATGCACCCGCGCCGGCACCCCCAAACAGCACCCCCAAAGCATCAATCTTGCGAAAACACCGCACCGTCACCAGCGCCTCAAACAGCACCAAAGACAGCATCCCAACATCAATCTCGCAAAAACGCCGCACCGTCACCAGCACCTCAAACAGCACCCCGAACGCACGCCCGTAGCACCAGCCCATCAATCACGCAAATCATTTCCCCCTCTTGGTTAGAAGTTAGAACCCCCATAGCTTTTAGCTATCTGGGAATAATACTATACAACAGTTGCTGAAAGCGTAAACTGCTGGCCGCTTTCTTGGACAAGGTACGACACTGAAATTTGTTTCGAATCATCAAAAGACAAACAGTTGTGCTACAACGGGAGCCTCAGGTTTTCTAGGGCTGGCATGGGGCTAGTTGAGGCTTCCGGAATCCATACATACGCATGTCCTTGCGTGTGGGTATTCGCAAATGGGTGGTAGGTATTGCTTCAGCGAAACATAGTCCTTTGTAGGCGCTCACTGACAAGCACGTGTATAATAATATATCGCTCATATGACGGCACATTCAGTTTCCATGCAGTGAAGTTGCCCATGCGTAAACAAGTAATGTTTGTGCTGACTCAAGCTATGACACTATTCGGCGCGAACTTGCTGAGAGGCGCTGTTGACAAAGGTGTTTAGACCTGCTCACCTCCCTGCTGGCATTTGAAGGCACTGGAATCTCGCAGGACATCGAGTTCACGATTCAGCAGAACAAGCTCTATATGCTACAGACGCGCACTGGCAAGAGGACGTCGCATGCTGCTTTGCGGATTGCTGTGGACATGGCCAACGAAGGCTCCATTCTCGGGCTTTTTTGTTTACGGCAAGCAACAACTGGCGCTTGACTTTGCGGGTTTGTTGTTTGTCTTGCCGTCTCAGGTTTGATCTCGAAGTCAAAGGCGTTGCTGCGGCTGAAGCCAGAGCTCATCGACCAACTGCTGCACCCCACTCTGGACCCCAAGGCCCCAAAGCAAGTCATCGCCAGGGGCCTGCCCGCCTCCCCGGGCGCTGCTGGAGGCAAGGTGGTGTTCACGGCGGACGAGGCGGTGAGACGCTCGAGGGACGGGGAGCGGGTGCTGTTGGTGCGTGTGGAGACCAGCCCAGAGGACATCCATGGGCTGCATGCCGCAGAGGGTGTGCTGACTACCCGGGGCGGCATGACCAGCCACGCAGCCGTTGTGGCTCGTGGTATGGGCCGGCCCTGTGTGGCGGGGGCCGGAGAGGTGCAGGTGGACTATGCGGCGGGCAAGTTCACCGTGGGGGATGTCACCGTGCAGGAGGGCCAGATACTCACCATCGATGGCGGCACCGGGGAGGTGATATGTGGGGAGGTGCCCACGGTGCCGCCGAAGCTGTCGGGCGCCTTTGGCACCATCATGGCCTGGGCAGACGAGCACCGCACGCTGCAGGTGCGGGCGAATGCGGAGACGCCCAACGACGCACGCCAGGCCAAGGAGTTCGGGGCGCAGGGCATCGGCCTAGTGCGGACAGAGCACATGTTCTTTGATGGCTCGAGAATCGTGGCAATGCGGCAGATGATCTTGGCTACAGACGAGGCGGACCGGAAGAAGGCGCTGGACCAGCTGCTGACCATGCAGCGCAAAGACATCACGGAGCTGTTCCGCATCATGGACGGGCGCCCGGTGACCGTGCGGCTGCTTGACCCGCCGCTGCACGAGTTTTTGCCCCACACTGAGGAGGAGATGGCGTCGGTGGCCAAGGCTGCTGGCGTGCCACTCAACCGCGTGCGGCGCAGGGTCTCGGATCTGCAGGAGGCGAATCCCATGTTGGGCCACCGGGGCTGCCGACTGGCCATCACCTACCCCGAGGCTGTGGCCCTAACTTGCCGGCACAGACCCAAGCATGCAAGTGAGAACGAGGCCCTAGCCAAAGGATTTGGTTCGGTCCAGCCTACCCTGAGGTCTGCGAGATGCAGGCCAGGGCCATCTTCGAGGCTGCGGCAATTGTGGGCCGCGAACGTGGGAATCAGCCAGTGGCCGAGGTGGGAAAATTCAAGAAAGTTCAACACCATCTAGGGCTGATACCAAAAGGACACTCTTCATTCTGGTAAACCGTAAACCCGTAAACCCACTTGAATCTGATTATGGAATGCTGCTAGGAAGCCGACTATTGGCTGAACAACAAAACCCGACTCGTTTTCAGGTGATGGTGCCACTGGTAGCCACTACCCAGGAGCTGAGCATCCTCAAGGGCGTGGTGGAAAAGACTGCTGCAGCTGTGCAGAAGGAGCAGGGGGTGAACTTGGGCTACCACGTGGGCACCATGATCGAGCTGCCCCGAGCTTGTCTGCAGGCGGGTCGCTTGGCCGGGCAGGCCGAGTTCTTCAGCTTCGGCACCAACGACTTGACGCAGACCACCTACGGCTTGAGCCGGGACGACGCAGGGGCCTTCCTGCCCGAGTACAAGGCCAAGGGCATCGTGGAGCAGGACCCCTTCGTGAGCCTGGACCAGGAGGGCGTCGGCGAGCTTATCAAGATTGCAGTGCAGCGTGGCCGCGCTGCCCGGGAGGGCATAAAGATGGGCATTTGCGGCGAGCATGGCGGCGACCCAGCCTCCATCGAGTTCTGCCACAAGGTGGGCCACTGATGGCTACTGATGGCGGTATGGCAGCCTATGATGCAATTACAATCTTTATCAATAACGACTTGTGAGGTGTGGAGCAGGGTGATCACGCCAGTCAAATGTTCTTCGTGGCTCACCAGTGATCAGATTCTTTACTACGGGCTTTATATCAGCAATCCATGGGTCAGGGGAGAGACCGGTTCCACCATCAACTGTAGGGGGTGGGTTCTGAACCGGGAATAGTCATCCTTTTACACAAGAAACAGTTCCATACGCAGTATACTGTACTGGCTCACCGTATCATACTGTATCGCGATGCTTAGCGACCTTGTTGTAAGGACCGTGTTACAAGGGTAACGACTCAAACAACTAGATTTGTATTTTTATATGTTTGAGCTGGCACTCGCAAACTCGCAAACTCGCAGACTCGACAACTCGACAGACTCGCAGGTGGGCCTGGACTACGTGAGCTGCTCGCCCTTCCGCGTGCCCATCGCCCGGCTGGCAGCGGCCCAGGCCGCTCTGAAGCAGCGGGGCGAGAGGGTGCCGCTGGCCTCCTCCAAGCCGACCAAGCCCCGGCAGCCGACCTTCGGGCCCTGGTGAGGGCCAAAGCGCAAGTTGATTTCAATTTGCCCATTTTGATATGATATGTCTTCATCTCTTGCTTTCATGTTTGACACTTTGGTGTTTCTCTGTTGTGCTGTGGAAGTAAATTACTGCGGACAGGGATGACTGTTTATGTCCTTTTAAATTCATGCTCGAGCATGTTTTGGCAGAGGTCGAGTCCAACCCCTGGTGCCAACTGTACAGTTCCAGACTTCGTGTCATTCCAAGTCAAGTTTTGTCTCCCGCTGAATGCCCGCCTAGGCGGATGGAAGCGCGTCGAGTTATTTTGGTGACCTGGCCTGCCACAGACAGGGCAGATGGTTGCAGGGCTACACAAAAGTGGTGGCTGAAGTAGGTTGCTCGCTTTAAAGAGCAGTATATGGCAGTATAGCAGTATAGCTTTCGAATCACATGTTTGACTGTCTGAGCAACTCATAAAGGCTGCTGAGTGAATGCGCACGACTGGGTCAGTGTTCAGCGGTGTGGAGGACACACAAATTTAACTCAGGATGTCATGAGATCCATTTTGATAGAGAGTGGTTGCGGGAACCGTTTTTTTTTTTTACTAGCCCCGGCTCGGGGCTTAACCCCGGCTAGGAGGCTGGTTGGTTGGTTGGTTGATTGATTGGTTGGTTGGTTGGTCGGTCGGTTGGTCAGTCGGTTGGTCGGCTGGGCGGCCGCATCCCCGGCATCCCCAGCAGTTCTGGTTTCTTGTCAGGGCTGTATTGGGCATGACTTGATGGTACAGTTGCTTGGGCTGGCCGGTCGCATCGCCCGCATTACCGGCCTCACTCGGACTAGAGTTGCCTATTGGCCTTGATTTGGTGGCAGTTCAGGGTTGCTCGGGGCTGGTTTGGGGTGTTGCTGAGGAATTAATGAGGGCGGGTCTTGGGTTTGTTTGAGGTTCGTGTAGGCTCGGCTGATATGGGAGGGTTTAAGGTTGACTTTGGGTCGGTTTTGGCTGGTTTAGCCGTGGCTTTCGGGTTGCTTCAGGGCGTATAGTTATGCAAGTTTTGGGCTGGTTTGGGATTTTGTTGTGGGGCGTTCGCCCCAAACCACCAATCCCAGCCCAAAACTTGCATAACCACATCCCTGAAGTAACCCGAAAGCCACGGCTAAACCAGTCGCACACCTGGCACAAATCAGCCCCGACCAAGCCAAAACCGACCCAAAGTCAAGCCATGCGTCGGGACCAAGATCGGTGGATGTTGTTAATTCCATTGTGATTTGAGTCAATCAGTTGTGATTTTGTCTTTGGAAGGAATGAAAATGGACCACATCCACCGATCTTAGTCCCAACAGAACTCACGAGACGTGTTTTCAATGAACAAGAACGGTACCATCTCCCCCCCCCAAACAGGATACTGATATATATATATATATATTCCTAAGCAGTCAGAATGACAAGGCACGGAGACTGATGTCTTTTTTATGGCTGCGCAGCTATTCTCTGTGAGAATGTGGGTTAAGCCACTGCAAACAAAGATAGCAAGCTGTGATTCACATGCTGTACAAAGTGATACAAGGGATTCCTACATTGCTCTAAGGGTCAATCATGTACAATTCAAGTGACAACCCCCCCCCCTTCCCGAACTGCTGGGGATGTGGCCATCAACCCCCAGCCAACCTCTTTGGAGTGAGGCCTTGTGCTGAGCCGGGGCTAGTAAAAAGCCGGGGCTAGTAAAAAAAACCACCGTGGTTGCGACGAAGTAGTCCTATTAGCTATGTAGGGTAAGCAGCGGGCCTACAGCGGCGTTGCAACCAATCGTTGAGACTCCAGCCTCCACGTCCATTGATAGCGCTGGGAAAGTGGGCACAGCCCTGCGCTCACAATTGCCAGGTCGCCAAATGCTTGCTCCGAGGCGCTTCGGACTGGGAAAATCGGTGTTTAGACAGTCAGTTCATTGGCATTACACTTTGGGCCAACCAAATGTGCGTGGGGCAAGTGCTTGAAGCAGTTCCTCCTTAGCTTATCAGCAAGTTGTCCAACGCCCTTTCATTTGAGGGGCTTTCTATTCAACTGGGATTTCGCCCTCCACCAAAAACTTGTTTCTGTTGGACTATTTCCAGGACTACTCAACAAGTAAAGCCTTTGCGAGTCGTGGTCCTTCGAAGGGCGATTGCTCGTTGGTCGTGATCCAATTGTTTGAATTGTTTGGTACTACTCAACCGCTTCCATTCTTCCATCAGTCAGATGGGTCAGCAAGCTCTTCAACCAGGGCAGGCGATGTCTGATCTGCCGACTGTCGACTCAAAAGAGGGGACCGACAACTTTCAGCGCAAAGAACATCAACACATTTGTTGACTTCAACCAAGGGGATGGCAAGTCAAGGCGGTAGTTGCTTGCACCCAAAGAGATGCAAACTTCTATGCTCCAGGATTCAATCCCTGTGTCCTGTCAGCAGGAGAGGGGCTGAGGCTAATGAGATTGAATGCATCGTGCGGAACCAGTGCGGCAGCGCGTTTCGGATCTCGGCCGGATCTTTCGGATCCGCATCGTTTTGAGAGGCCTCTGTCTCCTCAAAGGCCTCGAGTGCCTCAGAGACGGCCGGGTGCCTGCAGGGCCGCATGCAGGAGATGGGGGGCAAACCTGGCAGGCTGTGGCATTCTTCCTTTGGGATGCCACGGTGTAAATTGATATTTTCCATTCGCCCCCATTCCCGTTCCCGTAAAGGGGGGGGTGATGTGTTTGGGCCGGGCTTGTTTTTCTGGGAACGCTTCTTGCATTCTGCACCTCTTCAGCGCAATCTGTGCGTCCAGTTCAAGGCGTCCAGTTCAGGATTGGGCCCGTCTGCTTGGAACCCCTACACCTCACAGCGAGAGAAAGGAGAGCTGCCACTTTTCTAAGCTGTCTGTGGCAAAAAAAGGAGACAGGCTGCTAGGGCCTTGCCCTACTCTTAGTGTGTCTTCCTTTGCAGGATCTGCAAAAGCGCTTCGTGGCTTTGCGCGATGTCCGCGATGCAGGGGCGTAAGGAGCCGACCGTATCACTTTGTGTGGACGGAACTAAGTCTGAGATGCCTACCGGCTGCAGCCAATGAACTCCATTTGTTGCTTATCAACCGCGACTGCTGAAGTCTGCAGTCTGAGATAGTCTGAGGCTTCTGAAGTAACGCAGGGCATGGCTGTATCCGAGGTTCATTTGTTTCACCAGCGGAGAAACTCGGAGAAACCCGAGACTCGAGCATGTCGTTGTGGGACATACTGGGGCAGTGCTCAAGCTGCTTGCTGAATACTTCCTGATTGTCCCTTCCAATATGCTGTTGTCCTTTCGCTTTGCGCTGAAAAAGGAGCTGATCCCTAATTTGAACATTCTTCAGTTTCATGGCTCGCTTGCTTTGATCGTCAGAGGCCAAACGGCTTCAGGGACAACTCCCAGTGAGCATAGTGAGCATGGAGCGCTGAGTCCGTGCTCGGGACTTGTGGCTTCCAGCTGCCCCTCGTGCCGAGACGCCGAGCGGCCGAAGGCTGGCCAGGGCTGACTTTGGACGTGCAGCCCTCCCTGAAGAACCCACTGATGTGCCCGGATCCACTTTGCTTGAAACTCGCATTTGGATTCAGAGAGTATGGGGAGCTCTGCAATTGTTGGTAGCATGGCTTAGCAGAAGCTACTGCAGTGCACAGCCAAGCCTTTCTTTGTGAAGAAAGCCAGGACCCATGCAGTGATTGCCATCCCATGATCGCATCAAGCCCAATGCTTGCCACCGAGGACCATGGCCAGCAAGGTGCCCAGGGTTGGTCGGAGTTGCGTGGAGCACCGCGCTTTGGTGAAAGCTGCTGAAGCATGGAGCACGTGTCTTTGCTGTCAGCGTTCTGATCAGCAAGCTTTGAGAGAGTGGACCATCGTGAAAGGAACTGAAAGAACATATTGCCTACACCTGACCATTACAAGACCCTCGTCAAGTGAGGTGAGCACAGGTAGGTTTTTTTGTGCCCGGTTTCGAACATGACTCAACCCTGAACGCATTCAGTCAGCCAAAGCGAGCAGTTGTCTCAGAACTTGCGAACATGTTTTTATTAGATTCTCGGGGTGCAGCTTGCTCCCGTTGAGCTGCTGCCGCAGGTGCTGGCTCCAAAGCTTTCAAGCTCTTGGGGGACGGGATGCACTAAGTGCTGCAAACAGCAAACGCGCAACGCACGAGAATGAAGATCCGAAGCTAGAAGCTTGCCCCAATCCGTACCCCGGGCTGAGTCCCAAAGCCAAGAGCCTTGGCTGAGGCAAGTACCGCCAGCGCTTGGCGCAGAGCAGTGGAGTTAGCAGCACCAGGACGCGTGAGTCCTGTCATGTCGACCTGCAATCCTGTTCTCCAGAAAACGATTGTATATGCAGAGTCCCTGAACTTGACCTTCGGAAGCATCCCCCACATCTCAGTTATTTGTCTCAGCAGTTATCTTCCGGACTCATCTTGACTTTGTAGCAAGAATTGCACACCTGAATGTTTGGAAGCTTTCGCCATTGAATGTTCTGGTGACTAGCGGGACATCAAACAGTCCGCTGTGTTGTGATTTGTTTTCGAGCGGCTCATTTCCTGTGTGCTTTGTCACCGGATGTATGCAACTCACGCATCAGCTGGGCTCCGAGTCGGATATTGGCTAGGGCCTTCGAGTCGGATATTGGCAAGAAGATCCTCATGAAGTACGGCTGGCGGGAAGGCTCGCGAGTCTTGCAGTCTTGTGGGTCCACGCGTAGAGAAGGTGGGAAGGTAGAGAAAGTGTAGATGTACAACATACAGGTCACATCAGGTCACTACAGTAAAGGGAGGATTGTAGCTCTTGATGCTATGTGCTTGAGGAGGGGCCGTTTCGCAACCTTTCAACGTACACTTGAGAAGTAGTTTTGGGAACTGGTAATGGTTTTGGCATTGTTTGTGTTGACTCTTACAAGGCACATGTTTGGGGCTGATCACATCGCTTTCTGGGACCAAAGATGGTGGCAGCACGTTGTTAAGAGAACTGAGAAGACACCGCCAGGACTATCCGTAATCAGAACCACGATCGTTGTGCATGCAGTGTCAACTGTACGACCATGGAGACTTCCGCGGCTCAGGGCAAGGCTTGGGCCGGCTGAAGAATGGCCGCACAGAGTGCGTCCAGGCCTGGGCCCGCGGTTGAGTCAAAGTCTCCCTGGTCATTGATGCCGTGACATCGGTGTCGCTTACAAATCCTTGGCTCCCAAGCTATTGCACCGGGGTCGCTGACAGTAACGTTTCAGGCGCCTCGGCGCCTTGTTCGTAAGGTGTGAGCGATCCATGGCCGGCGCCTTTCCCCAAGGACAGTACCACGATTCTCCTTCCTGTCTGTCAGCCCTGAAAAGTCATGCAGAGGTCGGTCTCTGAGCGAGTTCAACGAACAGCGCGGAAAAAGGAAACAGCAACCAACATGTGTCGGTGCACCTTTGCCGTACGGAACGGCAGTTCCTTTGCCAGGGGGAGAGGCGTGAGGACAAGAAAGGCCTTGGTCTCCAAAAGCGAAAGTCGGAGGAGCCGTGCGTGGAGCGCTTGTGCATCCGGACTTCTTCTTCTTCTTTTTTAAGAAAAAAAATAGAGCACGTCTCGAAATCGCACGGATTATTGTTGACTACACTGTGCAATAGTTTCGGTCCTCTTCCAGATCCATGTATTTGTTCAGCACGTTGAGCAAATGTCAGTAAGAGAGTACACTAAGTGTTCACCTTTCATCAATGAGAGTTGAAACTACAAGAGCTTTCAATGCAGTGAACAGACCGCAGGCTGATGTTGGCATGCTTTCCTTGACAGGGAGTGGCCCGAGCCAGTGTGAGCTGTCACTGAACGCCCTGGACCACATGAGTCAGCTGGCATTTTTTGAAGGCGCCGTCCTTTTTGTTGCTGAGGATCCATATTTATTTCTGCTGCTTGGCATGGATGGCATGTGTGCTTGACCAGGAGCAGTGGGACAACTGGTGGGCCGATTGCTTCAACAGCGTGGCACTATGCCCCAGAGCACGCGGCAAGATTGGTTTAGCAAGAGTTGAACTGCAGAATGGAGCAGGCTCAAATTGAGCTCGATGCCACAATCACTGTCACAGAAACGCAGGCCTGATAGGCTGGCTCAGGCCACTGCGAGGACACAGCCGTAGCCATGGAAAACCCGACCGCCCGAGGCCAAGAGCATCTCCGTGAAGGCAGAGAGCCGCGCAAGCGCGGAAAGCAGTGACAGCGAGGAGGAGGCGCGAACAATCTGTTTGGGTTGGCGTGTTGAAGATGTTTGTTTCATGCTGGGCAATAATCGACAGACTATTTTTCCGGAGACTCAAAGGGTGGAAGGGGCGACACAAAGCGGCACGTTGACTTTCTTTGTTTCAGGGACGCTCCGCAGGTCTCTGCCCATCACTTGCCCAAGTGTAGCCCCCCGAGCATGGACTCGCGCGCTGCCCAAAAACAGCTGCAAAAAGTTGAGGCAGCTAATGCGTACGACAACCGATTGGGGGTGGGGTGGGGTGGGGTGGGGGTGCCGGGGCGGGGGGAGGGATGCATGCTCCTTCAAGCCAGGCAGCACCCCCGGGAGGTCGCATTACCGCGATCAAGAAAGCCGGGGCTCGGGACCCAGGAGTTGGACTTTGCAAACTGCAAATTCGGCACAGAGTTTGTTCTGTCTTGTTTCACTTCCTTGCTCGAAATGGTAGTTTTGAAATTGGAGTGTTGTTTTTTGACCCAGCCCCCCTGTGTTGCAAGACATCCGGCGCAGGCGTCTAGTTTGAGATCTGTCATTATCATTGTTTCGTCTGGGCGGGAACTCTGGCTGCGTGGTGAGCAAATCTGGCGCCGGGCGCCAAAGTGTGCTTCGCTTGCTGCCCGTACTCCGAGCACTACACTTGTGCTAAAAAATTGCCGTTTCCGATCTGGATCTGCGTGCCCTACAGCATGGCCAAGAGCTCGGTGGCCTGCATGGTTTGCGGCAGCTAAGGCTATGGCTGGCAAGCTGCGCCGCGTGCTGCGTCAAGAGAGTCCCGCGGCTGCATCAGTCCGGGTCGAGGGTGTGTCCGGTGGTGGAAGTTTGGCAGTGTGTGAATGTGGCCAGCTTCCAGTATCATCGCCCTGTCCTTCAGCCAATAGAAACAACATGAGCAACGGGAGATGGGAGGAGTGTGAAGCCATTGCAAATCATCCGCTTGCAAGCCTGAGGCAAGCCAGCGCTGTGATGCTAGCCTGGTCACGTGTTGATCGAAGGCCGTGCTACGGCGGCCATGTTTGCACCTCGGCAAGATCCTGATCCACTGCGTTTTACTGTAAAAAACCACACATGCACCGTCTTGAAAGGTAACACAAACCAGGTTTCGTGCCTCCGACCCCACAAAAGCAGTACAGTGTTTCATGCCTTCGGGTTCAAGAAGTACCCATTTGAAAAGTTTGTGAAAAGTTAAAACCTTTCATGCGATGCGCGCCAACTCCTGAATAAGATCACAATCATTCTCCAAACAAAGCTGAATGCTATGCCATGGCGGTATCTACCAAATGCTCGAGTAAGTGGAGGAGTCTTCGAGACAGCACAAATGCAGCAGCACAGACGTGCAGCGGAGCAGGACCTTGTAAAAAAACAAAAATGAACCAAGCGTTGAGGAGACAAGGCAACCTTGTTGCCAGTAGATCGAAATCAAGCGGGCCCCGGCAGGACAAGGAGGCAGAACGAACAAAGGCAGTCACAGGGTCCAGTCACAGTCAGCACGTCAATGTGGGAATTCAAGCAAAAGGGGTCAACAAGCCAAACAACACGAAGCAGCGAGAATGAGCGCTGGAGGGCACAAAGAGCAAAAGCAGTCCATGCAGCTGAGCAGCTGCGGCAGCGGCCATGCAGCTTGTGAACGATGTCGCTACCATCCCCCCCCCAACCCCCACCCCAGCCCCAAGAAAACTCCGAAACCTGCAAAAACACCACGGCCTAATATCAACACGCCTCCCCAAACAAGGGTGGCATGGAGCGACCGAGCGACCTTTGAGCGCTGGCTTGCAGCACCTTGGACAGTCACACTTGGCCGCATCGAGACCACAGTCGCTGAGGCATCTATGTGTGCTGCTGCCTCTGTAGGTTGCCGCCTGTACCTGGTTTGTCTCACTTCCGGCCGAGTGAGGCCCAAACCTTTGTGGGCCGGTTGACCAGCCTGTTCCGAAACTGCTCAGCAAGGAGGTAATAGGGGGCTGCATACGCCTTTGGAATCTGCAAATAGAATGCTTGTTTGGGTCTCACTTTTAGCTGGACACACTCCAAGAGACGAAGACTCAAGTCTTGACCACACGGAGTGTCTAGTCCGTCCTGTAGGAGTGGCTGCAAGGCAGTCGCAGGCCTGCCGATTATGGGCTTGAGGAGGTCCTGTTCTTCGTGGGCTACAGCCTGCGGAGTGAAGACAGAGAGACGATATACTGATATACTTATACTTCCAGAATGTTTGATTCACTACTCAGGTCAAGTCTGGTTTGTTTTGCTATGCTGGGTGCTGGTTGCTTTCATGCACCACAGCACATATTCTCTGTGGGAGCGTGAGACTCCGATTGCACTTTCATCTCAACTCGCAGCCCTACAATCTCCGGGTGAGCAGACAGACCTGCCTAGCCTGTGATCACAGGCGCCACCAGGGGCAAACATACCTGTCTCTTGCGAGCACGCGGCCTACGGGCTTTGGCGCTGGGTTTTATTTTTAGCTGGGCCACAGGACTAAAACGGGCACTGTCCTTCAATGGAACCCTAGTTGAACTGCAGGTAGATCAGAAATGACACCTTGCTCTTACCTCAATTTGACGCAAGGTGTGTGGAGGACATGCGCCTGAGAAGCATGCCCAAGTATGCCCTCATTGTTTTTTGGGATGAGTGTCCAAGTGCAACAGTTCGCTTCATACCTCTGCTGCGTTTGGTTCCGGTGAGTAGCATTGCTCGGCCTGGTCCATCCTTCTTTGCCAGGACAGCACCGGTCATTGAGTGATCGTGTGTCACACTTGGTCTCCAGACACACGACTGAGTCAAGCAGTCAAGGAGTCATCGCAGGCAAGTCACACATGACAGTTGTCTTCAGGCGTCGCCATAGCTGACCATATCAATAATTCTTCGGTGTAGGCGGAGGCATTTTGATTGCAGGCATCGTCTGGAGCCCTCCTTGGGTTGCATCAGATATATCACACGTAAAATTTGCAACCACGTGCTATTTGCAGCTTTGGGCGTGTCATGCTTGATCGATCAAGCTGGCAGGAAGGGAAGCATGGAGGTCTTCGTTGCGGCAAGGCTGCTGTTGGGCTGAGTACTGGTTAACACCCGCTCCTTTGAATAACTGCTGTAAACGATCAAGTTCAAAGTATTTGCTTCGGCTTGTTCTAGGGATGGTCATCAGCTCTTACTTTTACTTGTAGTGACATGGGTGACCAGGGCACAAGGATCCCAATCCGGTGTAGCAAACAAAGCACGGTCACATTGTTTGATAATTGCTTGTTTGTTGTGTTGGTGCTGTTGGTGTCTGATGCTTGACGCCCTCGTGTTCTCTTGCGCCGATTGGATTAGTATGGATTGGTTACAGTAGCCTTCATCGTAGCCCATGAGTCGGTCCCGCAAGAGCCAAGTGAGCCCGGTAGGAAGTGGGCTCCAGCTCTGTTTGCCAGCGAGTCACCAAGTGGACGGAACATCCGGTGCTGCCATGGCCTGCAGGCGTTCCCTCGATTTTTGTGAGACCCCCTAAGAAGAATATTTCGTTGCGGGGCTTCGTTCATTTCCGCCCTGAGAATGACAACAGACCCAGACATGACATGTTGAGGTATGTCCGCGACTGACTTTGGTAAGCCCAGAGCCTTGATTCCTTGTTCTTGGAAAAATGGTTGAATCAATAAGTGCCATGAACCGTTCCCAAATACCGGCAAGAAGCCACAGGAACCAAGAAACAGCTGTGCAGGCCGCAGGTCGTTCCAGTACAGGCGCCTGCGGGCCCCTCGGGCCTTGCGGGCAGCCGACCTCAGAGAGGCAAGAAGCGCCAGGGAGGACTGCAGTGGCCTGCAAAAGGAGGTCCTCATTTTTTTGACGACTTGCCAATTTTGCCGTTGGTCTTACAATTAAAAGGGGGCTGTCCACGGCGATGTGGAGTGCCCGACTCTGACCCTTCATAGTAGCCGATGGGCACAGAAGCGTTTGGCAAGCCATGGAGGGTGGCACGTATCGTAGTGTCCTGGTGCTTGCATCCGGGCCTTCACGTGGAAGTTGGCAGCTTTGCCGGGAAGCTGATTGACGCAGAAGGGGCAATTTGTTTGTTCCCTTCTGTGGAAATGTGCAACCTTGCCCATTGCTCAGATGAATGCCTTCCTTCAGAAAGGCTCTCAGCTAATCGTAGTGGGAACCCCGAATCACCAACTCATTATTGAAAAGGGTTTGTTCTCTCTGGAGGTTGCATCTTTAGGAGAGAAAATTGAGCGGGAGAGGCAGAGGAATCATGCACAACCAGGGTGTTCACCCAGGTAGCTACGCTACTACCCACAGCAAAAGAGGTGAAACACACACACACACACACAGGTCGTATGGTTTGAACTCAGAATTGAAAGACATTTGCTCAGCCATACATGAATACCAGAGCTATGACCTCAACTTACCGGCTGAACAGCGAATGAAGGAAATCAATCACATGCTTCTCGCTTCGGGTGCGAGAAGATTTGGGCTCAATTCCCAGAATAGCCCTTTGGGGGGAATGCCTTTTGCGACACTAAGCCATTTGCAAGAGCCTGCTTTTCCAGAGGCATGAGCCTAGAGTCGGCGGTGTCACAAGGTCTTAATGCTGCATTGCGTGACATGACAATGTGTATCGTTGATACTAGTGTAGCAGTGAATAGTTTGCTACACTCCAAGGCGGCGAAGCACTTTGCCCCTTTGTAAAAAGTGGCTTCTCATGATGAAGCGCAACTTGATTGTCATGATCATAACCGGAGGCAAATTCCATGAGCAGGTAAGTTAAATAATTGCCGCTGCTCCAAAAGCTGTGCAACTTTCCTGACGACCTGTCCCAGGCAACGCAGCCTTGACCGGGGCACTCGCCGCGGTTGCCGCTGGCGTTGCGGGCGCTAGCGCACGTCGGAGAGGTGCACGGGGAGATGGAAGTAGGCAAATGACGCGAGTCAGTTCCCCACATTGTAATATGCCGGGTTGGCTGGGAATCTCATGTTTTTTGGATGCCGCCTGTGGATCCTAGATGTAGTTTTCCTTTCTGGCTTCTCTTTAACATTTTGTATATCCACATCGACATGTGCAGCATCCAAAACAATACCAAGGCACCTAGCAAAAGGAATGGTGCCAACATAGGCAGCACAGCAGATCTGTTGGAAGCGCTCGCGAGTCAAGCACATGAACATTACTCGTATTTCTGTGATGTCAGAGACGTCTATCTCGCATGTTCCCACGAATCTTTCTTAAATGCATGTGTGGTATGTTGCAATGGTTTCTATCTTAGCTTTTGGTTGGGCACGTTCTACAGACCCAAGACTTGCTAAGACCTGCCTCTCTTTCCAGGCACGATCACTGCCGCCGCCAAGTGCCGTGGCGCCCGCATCGCGCGCAAAGCCTGGCGCGCATACCGCAACTGTCACGGCGGGGAGCGGCTTGTCGGCAGAGCGGGCCACACTTGCCATCCAAGCGGAGTTATGGTCCAACACACTTCTTTGAGTCGAGCTTCTTATAATATATCGGAAACATGGTCACCCGGTCAGGTTTTGAATGCGACTCAAGTGACAAGAGTCGAAAATGAAATGTGAGATGTGGAAAGGTTGACAGGTTGCTATAGGTTGCCCACGTTGGCAACTGAGTAAGCTTGACAGGATCCCGAAAAGCCGGATGTTGGAGGTCCCCCCAACCAGGCACCCCGGATTAGTCCGGTCCTGGGGTCCTCTGCCTGTTTGGCCGATAGGACTGGAAACGGAAAGTAAGAGGAAACAAGTTTGTGATGTTGTTTTCCAGGGCTGGAGCGCCAGGATTAAGAGAGGAGGTTGCATTGTCAGGGGGCTACCCTCTGTTAGTTGTTCAAACCCTGATTTTTTCAACTGTAGTAGGACTTTCGCTGCGTGCGATATTTCTTGAACGTGATTTTAGATATGAGGAGTCGCTATTGTCATGCCTTGGCAAAAGTACTGGCAATAGCTTGGGTTATTTGAAGTGTTTGTTGGTTTTCCGGGGGTGGGCAAACAGGGATGTTGGTTTTGGAGAGTGCCAAGACCGGATTAGAGGTGTCAGTTTGCCAACCCTTGTGGGTGTTTTTGAAGCAGTACTGGTGGGCTGTCGGCTGGAAAAGAGGCATCGTTAATCACAGGTTTTTGCTGTTCAATCACATTCCTTGGCGTCCTATGTTGTTTCTAGCCTGTCAGGCAGACACCGAATTCATCCTAGCATTATCCACTTCCTATCGTGCAATGTTCTGTGGCCCATTGACCTGGGCCGTAAAGAAGTCAAGTTGGGATGTCAGTCATGCAAAGAAATGCCTGTTCCTGCATTTACATAAAAGAAGCTGGGCTTGCGATAGTCGGACACCAACCCTGCGCACGTTCCAAATCCAACTTCTAGCAATAGAGTATGTGCCATGATTTGGAAGGATGGAGCCACCTCGGCTACCTGTGCATCGATGATATCGACTAAGCTAGCCCAAGTTTTCAGAGCAGCTGCACGTAGCCCTTGGGGAACTCTAGCCAAGGCACCTGTCCCCCGAGCGCAAGAGACAGCTGGAGGCGCCGAAGGGCGGATGTGCGTGCAGATCATAAGAATTGCGTTGGGGGAACTCCAGAATGAGCTTTAAGCGGCAGAATGAGTTTAGTATGTTACAAAGTGGCAAGATAAGTAGACAAACAAGGAAACATGTGGGGGTCAGAGAGATGACGGTGGCTAAACTTCCCGGCAACACATGTTGCTTCGTTCCATCGCATTTTGATTGCCCAACTGATGCGTGCATTGGATTCTCACAAGGCCTGGATCACTCGTGATATTTTCCCTGCATTGATCTACTAGTGGAATATGCAACAAGATCTTTCTTCAAGGATGGTGATTTAACTCCCTCACTGTCGGTGCGGACAAAGCATGGTAAGGGCTTACATCACAAGACATCAGTGTCACCCGTTTCATTTGTGGTCGCTGTGGTGACAGCCCCCTGCTTGCCATGATTCAGGCCATTTGCGAGAAGATCGCCACACCCGGAAAGGGCATCACTGCCACGGATGAGGAGCTCGTGGCAGATTGTTCCTGTCAGACTTTGGGAGTTGCCTAGTTTTGAGTGGGCTCAAGGGTGTTTGATACATGTTTCTGAATAGAGACAGGCGAGCTGGCATGAAACAGGCTGGCATCAAGACCCTAAGCTTTTGCCAGATTGTTCTATGTTGAATGTCGAGTGCAGATTTGGTTCTTTTGTTTGCATCCTGGACATGTCTTATCACGCACGCACACACAACCTTTGCAGATAGTGTGTTCCACCAGCGGCAGAGCGAGCTGTTTGAATGTCCAAGAGCTAAGCCGTAGCTGCACCGCCTTTGCAGGGCCCCGGCACCATCGGAGATCGCTTTGCAAAGGTGGGCGTCGAAAACACCGAGGAACACAGGCACGGAGACTATTTTGCAAGCCAACAGATTTGATAGCATCGAGCAGTTCAAACAACATGTTAGTGCGCATATTTTAGGTGAGTGTAAAATCTGTGATCCTTCCGTGAATTGATGTCCACTGCCAGCAGTGTTTTACAGACTTTGGCCGAAGAGTGATTTCACTTGCGGCACTGACTGGCAATGTAGATGCAGAATATTTATGTGTATATATATGATATATAATATATGTGTGTATATTGATGTTTGTTCAAGCAGAGGCAATGCATTGGAATTGAGGGCCGTGAATTCGCGCACTCCCTGAGGCGGGTATACCGGCAGATGCTGTACGAGACACCCGGCGTCAACAACTACCTCAGTGCTGCAATTCTTGACCCTGAGACGCTGCACCAGAAGGACGACGAAGGCCTAGCACGAGCCTTTGTGAGGAGAGCTGCTTACATTTGGCACGGGTCTTGAAGGACGTGTTTGCGCGCATGTGCGTCAGGGTATCCAGGGCATGTCTCTTTGGAGGCCTAGGCCAGACAATTGAGTTCCGCTCGAATTGTGGATGGTGAAACGTTTGCTGCGTCTGTTTCAAAGACAGTCCATGGCGCACATATCCCTCGAAATGGAGAATGTCTGCTGCAGGCGTCCTTTTCCCTCGAGCCCTGGAGCAGAGGGGGATCATCTGCGGGGTGAAGCCGCACTTGAAGGTCTATGCCGCTGGGCTGATTCGGTCAAGTGCGTTGTATGACTGGCCACAGCGTTCTTGTGTATGTCACTTCTCCTGGGGGTGAGCAGCATGGTCAAAAGCCCTTGACTCTACACTCCATGATTGTGACCTTGTCCTGTGCTAGGTGGTGTGACTGTGGCACATTTGAGGTAGCGCATGGCTTTAGACCTTGACTCTGCCTTACTTCCATACTCAGGTTGTTGCCCAGATCTAACGTGGCAGTTTGACACATGATCTCACACAAAAACAGTCTCTCTTGCATAGGCAGCATTAGGCATTCCATGCTGCCCGGCTGCTGCTCGGATTTGGCTCAGATTGCCAATCACTTCTTGGCTTCTGCATGTGTCGAGTGGGTTGCAGAAAAAGCAGAAACATCATGAGTTGCATCAATTGCAATTTCGGTGGAGCCCAACCTAGAAGGCCAGCTGCATACTGTATTGGTCCTATGACTCCTCAAATGGAGTGGTGATTCCTTGGCTCGACGCTTGCCTTGGGGTTGTTGCGCACTGAGGAGCTGCCAGGCGCGTTGGGCGACACCGTGATGCAGGGTCTGGACAGCTTGGCGATGCGCCTCAGGGAGTACAAGGCCGCGAACCGAGTGTTTGCGTCCTGAAGCCTCAGGCGTCAGCAGGCTTACTGTAGTTGACGTTGGCTTCAGCTCCTTAGAAGCACGCATCCGTGCATGCGCAATGTGGGGCTGCCTGTTTGGTTTCTATGAGAGTCTACCTTTGGCTTGGTGCTGTTTCCGGCTTGCTGTGCGTTTGTGTATATATGTATACACACCTCTGTGTGTTTGACTGCAGCCTTGACAGACTGGAAGGTTTGCATGATCATCCTTGCAAGCTCCCTTGTAAATCTCCATTTGGGCACCCCGTCAGGAGGCAGGCGCCAAGTTCGCCAAGTGGCGCAGTCCGTTGCAAATCTCGCCTGGTCCTGAGGCTGCCATCAGGTCTTTGGTTGCAAGTTGCATGTGAATCGTCACATAGAGAACATTGCCTTCCAAGTCCAGGCCATTCCCCGAAAAGCATCCCGGGCCGCTTTTTATTCTGCGGCGCCAGCAAATGGGATCACACCCAGGTGCCCTGTGCCGGGCGACGTTAGATGCTCCACGCCAACCAGAGACATTCCTCGGCTGAGGCGCTACAGCCCCACCAAGGCAGCCATTGAGGCCAACATGAGAGACCTGGCGCGCTTCGCACGGGTACCCAGATGAGAGTCACTGTCTATTGTTTGCCACACCTTGAATGCAAATAATATAATGACATTTTAAAAGCAATTTCACATAGTTGATCACCCCGAGCCATCCTTGCCGTGTGAATTTGTTTTGCCTGCTTCGGAAGTTCAGGTTTTGTCTCTTGATCAGGATTGCTGATCCCTCCCTGAACAGGAAATCCCAGTGGGAACCTTGAAGGATTCAAGCTTCTTTGCTTTGCTCCTGAAGCAGTGGTCACTCGTTTCCCAAAAACCATGGCGGTTTCTAGAATCTCCGATCATCCACTGTTGCCATTGGCAGAGGCTCCTGAGATTGCTTTGCAGCGGGATCCATGTGAGCGCTATGAGTCTATGAGGGTTGATGGGACTGCACTACACCAAAGCTGCGGTATCGCGCGCCGTTTTTGTCCAGAAGCCAGACAGCCCGCTGAGGCACTGATTTGCCAGGAGGAGGGCCTGGTGCCCATGGTGGAGCCAGACATCATCATGAAAGGCCCCGGGTGTCATAGCTCTGTAAGGGCTTCTAGGATCATAGGATCTTCTTACTGTGACTATCCAGTAGCTCAACCTTGTCAAGTTTGATGTTGGGTCCTTTTGGATGCAAGCAATGCACGCCCGCGTCCTTTTTTTTGGCAATCATGGACCGAACCATAGACAGCTGTGGACGGAACCATGGACAAAACTATGGGCCATGATGGAGCATCATCTGAGCAATGCTACGCCAATAGGTGTGCTCTGAGAATCGGCTCAAAGCAGCACATTCTGCCTAAGAGCATTTGACTGGCAGCCCTGTTACTTTCAGATATAGCCGTTTTGTTGGTTACCAAGCTACTCAATGGGCGCCCGACGACAACTATGCAACGAGTGATGAGAATCTGCTCAAGATGTGGTGCGTATTCCCTGCACTTTTCTGGGAGTTTCCAGTGCATTATTGGAGTGCGCACCTGACAGCCCAGAGAGCATCGATGTGCTATTGTAGGATTTGTGGGAGAAACAGGTCAACATTTACAGAAAGCTGGGAAGGCACATTCTGCATGCTCTCCCTAGCACCCCTATAGGCACACGCAGCCCAGCATTGACAAGGATTGACACTAAGACACTCATTCCAGACCCAAGATAGGCCCCATTTGCACACTCTGGTGGGCATCGACAGATTTGAGCCGCGACATTGGCCAAGTTTCTAGGCGACCACGACCTGGAAACCGCTGTAGCTGTGAATGTGGAGGTTCAGCCACTTGCCGACCAAAAAAGCACCATGCAGCCTCGTTTAATTTGTGCAGCCATGTATTGGAGTCCCAGAGCATAGTCCTCTTTGGGCTGTGCCTGACATTATTTGGAATCAAAGATCTATGATGTTAGCCACGTTTCCTGTGGTGGAGCTTGAGAGGAAGCTCCAAGACACTAGACACGTTGCCGTGTCACTGAGGACCAACCTCTACAAGGCTATGTTGGAGCACGGTGTCTACATGGAAGGCCTGCACAGTGCTGACGCGTCTCACACCGCACAAAACATCATGAGCTCACCCATGAGGAATGTTCCTTGTTTGGGGATTGCATATTTCAGCTTTGTGAATCAAGTAGCCTACCCATGTTTTTTTACCTGCAGACCACGCAGACAGGACCGCTGCATGTTTGTCGCAGTATTTTGTCCCCCCAAGGAGACAAAACGGAAGTGCAGTGAAGCTCTTGGCCGGTATAGCGCTTACTCCGTGGGTTCCAAACTAGAAATACGACAGGCTTCACTTGTCCGGTGTATGCTCAAGCGGACCAGAGACACCACTCCCCCAAATTGCAGGTGTGGTGGAGGGGGGCTACTGTCATTGGAGCCAGCGGGGTCCCAAAACACGGTGCAGAGATAGGGCTGCGAGAGTTGTGCCTGTGGTGTGAGGAGCACTTCTCAAGACCAACTTGGTGAATCCCGGATTGCGACTCGGCGGAAGTGGCTGTATGACTTGCAGCATCCCGTTTTGCCCGGACAATATGTGTTCCAATCAAGCAAAACCTATCGAAGACAGCCTGATTAATTGTTGGGCTTACGGGCGTTTTTGCAAGGCATGTTTGACGTGGTATCGAACTGTGCACCTGTTTTCGACCTGGCTGGACGACGAGATGCTTGCAGCCAAAGCTTGCGAGTATCGGGTATTTTTCTGAATTTTCCTGCAGTCTTCCAACCCAACGGAGATTGTCCCCCCTCATTGCAGTTGCAGTGTGATGCCCGTGCAAAAGACAGGCTGACATTGCGTTCTGAGAGTTGATGCCCCAGCCTCAGGTCCTGCGACACGGAGTACATGGTCGAGGAGCAGCTTGGCTAAGAGTCCCCGAAAGCTCACGCACAGTTGCTACATGCAAGGATGTGGCTGACATGGCGGACATGGCTGACATGCTTTTTGATGCGAGTTTGCAGCAGCTTCAACTGGACCCAGTATGAGCCAATACCTGCTTTTCGGGCGCGAGATAGCTATAGTGCCGGACAAACACTTAGAAACGATTTTGGAGATGTTATTTTGTCACCAGCTACTTTTTTTCGTTTCCAATTGATGTCCCCAGCAGGTACCTTTCGTTTCTGAGTGTTGACGCGGACTGCTACGGCCCAATTCAACACTTAGATTTTTTCCAACACTGAGACTTTTTTTCAACAAATAGAAACGTTTGGGCGCAGTAGCCCAACGGCTCTTGACTCCAAGATGCGAAACGTTCATGTTTGTCATGCCTTGTTTGATGTCTATATGGGCTTGGACCAGCCTTCGCACGCATCCTCACATATACGTATATGCATCTACTCCTGACAGGCCATATGCCTCCCATCAAGCCTTGTTTGTTACACAAGGCCTGGACCAGGTCCTTAGCACCGCAACCTGGGTACATATATATATATATATATACATGCACAACTTCAAGGGCGTTTCTAAATTCGCAAATCGCAAACTGGCGCGCACATATGTAGGTATCGATCAGCCAGAGACAAGTCCAATTGGTAGAATCTGGGGGGGGGGGGCATTTCTAAGTGTTCACCGCCCAGCTGATTTCTTCACGGGCAACCCCGTGACCAACGCTTAGAAGCCGCAGGTACCTCTCAGGGCTAAGTGTTTGACGGCTGGTAATATGCATCAGAATCACCATAAAGGAGAAACACGGTTCTAAGTGTTGGTCGGCCAAACCGTTTCTAAGTGTTGAATTTACTGTTTTATTTTTTCGTTCTAAGTGTTTGTTGGAAAGTTTGGAAACCAAAACCGTTTCTAAGTCGGCGTATATGGTTCTGCCGGAACTGAGGCAGTGCTGTGCCAGTGTTGGATGGTGCTGAGACAATTTTACCTTCTTGTACGCATGCTGCTCAGGATTGCGGTGGCAAATCTGATGACCCTGCGGAGAGCTGCTTGGCTTTGTGCCTTGAATGTTCGCTACTGACCTGCTGGATTGAAGCAGGGCGCTACTGCTTCTTTCTCCAGCATTCTCCCCCACGCCCCATCTCGTTCGTCTCATTCCCTCATCCCCTTATTCATCCCAAAATTCGTCCCTTTTCCGTTGTTGTGGCCGAAACCCTACCTGTTTTGCCACGTTCAGAGCGGAGCTGGCAGAGGTCACGCCTGTGGCCATCAAGGGTGTAAACTTCCTCAGCGGCGGCCAGAGCCTCGAGCAGGCCGCGGCCCGCCTCAACGCGCTGAACAAGGCCCGTGGGCCCCTGTAAGGGGCACGTCCGGAGCGAATGTCGAAAGGAAGGCAAGGAGCAACACTGGGGATGTGCCATTTTTTCAACTGCCAAATGAATTTGAACTGAACGAGCAGTGGAGTAACAGGACGCAATTAGCAGAGGACGGATATTGAAATTGCGACAATTCCACTCCGTCATGCTGTCGTGGAGTTGCAACGTCACTCTGTGTTGCCTGACATTTAGAAGCAACAACACAGTTAAAACTTTCACGGTGATATTTCCTGGCGCTATCCAAGAAATCCAGGGGCCAACACGTTGGTATTTATATGGTGATTCGTAGCCATTTGGCTGTGGAACTTGAGTGCTGCAGGCTTGCAGTGCATGGAGGTCTGAAAAGGAGTTTTACATGAATGTGTTTGCTGAAAGAGATCTAAAGTTCCAGATACACTTCTGGTTTCCAACTTCTTGGTCGAGTCCCTTCCGTACATTTCTGTTCTCGGATGGCTCGTCCAGGTGAAGCAGGTGAAGGGCAGCTGCCCCTGGAACCTCTCCTTCTCCTGGAGCTGGGCGCTGCAGGCGCCGCTGCTCCGCCTCTGCGAGGCCGGATGCAAAGAGAAAGGCAACTGGAAGCAAATGAAGCAAGACATGCGGTTGTGTTCATTTTTATACTCTGTACACCATGAAAACAAGTATGTGTATGGGAGTCGTTCTAAAGGCCCTTGACGCCATGCTCCTTCTGCATGCCCCCTTGGAACTAGACCAAAACAAAGCCAAAGCCAAGCGGAATCAAGAGTGTGACAGTCTTGAACAAGTTCTCAACTAACACTTGACTCCCCAATCAGCGTGTGGAGCTGACCCAGACTCTGTGTATACGGACACATGCGTACACACTCATGTATTGTATGCCTACCTACCTTTCTTCCCTCCTTCTTAGCTACCTAGCTATCTAGCTACCAAGTAGCTACCTAGTAGCTACCTACCTACCTACCTTCCTTCCTTCCTTCCTTTCTTCCTTCCTTCCTTCCTTCCTTCCTTCCTTCCTTCCTTCCTCATTTACTCACTTACTCACTCACTCACTCACTCACTTACTTACTTACTTACTTACTTATCTACCTACTTATATACCTACCTACCTACACACCCGCACATCTACAGACCTACATACCTGCATACTTACATGCCTACATACCTACATACCTATGTACGCGCATAAGTGCATATGTACTTACGTACAAGCAAGAATGCATACGTACAATACAATCATTCAACATTACATAATATAATGTAATGTACGGCAACGCAAGGCCATGCACTACAATCATATATGGCATCACCCGCAATAAGGTTCAATCAATGAGAGTCCACTACGCTATAACAGCAACACTACTTTGTCATGTGACACACATACAACATATAGTTATCTTCATATGTATATATATATATATATGATACAAATATCATTGTATAACAAGAATATATCATAGTGTACTATAGAGTGTGATATGACATGATACGATGCAACATAATCTGAATGGTGTCACATAATTCACATATGAGCCACAATCAAAACCCGGGTAGATGAAGGTTAGTAAGGGACAATCCTAACCATAAATAGCTGCGGCCGCCTTCTTATTTCTTTACATGGTTCTGGGTAGACCATTTTAATACCGGATTTGGATTATGACTCATATGCACATACATACATACATACATACCTACGTACATTCGTACGTACGTACATACTTACTTACTTACGTACTTACTGTACATACGTGCATGCATGCAGTCATGCATACATACATACATACATACATGCAGTGTAACGCAATAGAATGAGCATAAACATTACCACACACACACACTACAATTCAGCACACTACAAACACACTTCCAAATACAAATGCAAATACAACACAATACAACACAGCAGCACAGCGAAATACGATACAAATACAAATGCAACACAGTACACAGTTCAATGCAATGCACTGTTTTTGTTGTGATACGGCAACATAGCGTATGATTCGATCATCATAGTGTACAACGCAAACCGTCATGCATAACATGTGCGGCGTAACACAATGAACTATCATGTCACATTTACAAGTTAAGATGTAATATAATACAGCACAATGAGATGTAAAGTAATGCAATGCAATAATATGGAACACTCTATACTACGCTATGATGCAATGTAATGCAATACAATACTCAATGATATCACACGTACATACACATATGATATTACTTATCCACATGCACACTCGCAGACAGACACGCATGCGTACAGAGACGCAGACCGACACGCAGACAGACGGGCAAGCAGACTGACGGACAGATAAGCAGAGGCAGGCAGCAGGCAGGCAGGCAGGCAGTAGAGACAGACAGACAGACAGACAGACAGACAGACAGACAGACAGACAGACAGACAGACAGACAGACAGACAGACAGACAGACAGACAGACAGACAGACAGACAGACAGACAGACAGACAGACAGACAGACAGACAGACAGACAGACAGACAGACAGACAGACAGACAGACAGACAGACAGACAGACAGACAGACAGACAGACAGACAGACAGACAGACAGACAGACAGACAGACAGACAGACAGACAGACAGACAGACAGACAGACAGACAGACAGACAGACAGACAGACAGACAGACAGACAGACAGACAGACAGACAGACAGACAGACAGACAGACAGACAGACAGACAGACAGACAGACAGACAGACAGACAGACAGACAGACAGACAGACAGAGACAGACAGAGACAGACAGAGACAGACAGAGACAGACAGACAGACAGAGACAGACAGAGACAGACAGAGACAGACAGAGACAGACAGAGACAGACAGAGACAGACAGAGACAGACAGAGACAGACAGAGACAGACAGACAGACAGACAGACAGACAGACAGACAGACAGACAGACAGACAGACAGACACAGACAGACACAGACAGACACAGACAGACACAGACAGACAGACAGACAGACAGACACACAGACAGACAGACAGACAGACAAACAGACAGACACACAGACAGACAGAGAGAGACAGACAGAGACAGACAGAGACAGACAGAGACAGACAGACAGACGGAGACAAAGAGACACAGAGGCAGAGACAGACGAGACGGAAGGAGAGACAGAGTGACAGAACAAAGACGGATACACACACACACAGAGACGTGCACAGGCACAGGCACATGCACATAAACACAAACAGCCGCAAAATCATGCATGCATGCATTTGTATTTTTGTCGGCGCATATGCATGCCATGTTGTGATGTGCTGCCGTTGTAGTTTGCCTGTTGCGGTGAGCAGCTTGAGTGGGCGTGTTTTTTGTCGTGTTGGCGTGTCGATCCTGCTTGCGATGGTTTGTTCCGATGTTGTGACGAACGTGTGCCTTTTTCTTGCGATGAAGTTGGTGTGCATCAATACGTAGACGCCATGATGTTAGGTCCTTCCACGTTGCTGTTTCGGCGCTTTGATGATTTACTTTGGAATTGTAGTTGTTGCGCTGTTGATAAATGTTTCAACTGTTGGATTGCGAAGCTGTTAGTGTGGTGATGTCTTGACTTGTCCAAGGTGCATGCTGAAAGAGGCTGATTTGGCATAGTGAGTGAAGCTACCCAGATTGTGACTTTAGCTGTTCATGCTGAGGAAGGTCACCCCTGGCAAGCAGACCCGGAAACTGTCGCACTTTGTGCCATGTGTTGCGGTGTTGCTTGTCGGGGTTTAGTGTTCTAGTGTTTTTTTTTTTTGTGTGTGTGTATGGTCCAATGGTGTTAGCGGAGCTCGTAATGCCTGGCAGGGGAAGGGAGGCAAGCTGCCGCTGAAGGAGATGAGCCTCTCGGGCCGCAAGACGAGCGCTTGGGTGGCCTGTCTCAAGAGAGTTGCATTTGACCAACTGTGCCCTTTGGTGCATGAAATCCGAAGCCGTACAAGTTACACAGTGGCCAAAGGACCGATGGCCACCTGACCGCAACTGATTCAAGGTTTGAAGATGTCTTGACACAACCGAACGTTGCATCTTGGGCGTTGCATCTTGGCTTGCACGTTTGTATGGCCCAAGCTCTGGAAGTTCCGCAGGTGTCACCAAAATAAATGTAGAGAAGCCTTTGTCAACCTAGATTGCTCGGGATGGGCTGCTGCATGTTGGGTATGATTACCATCAACATTGCCACAGGCTCCAATAGTGGCCATTTGCCAAAACGCAATCAACACCCTTGACAGGACATGATTTGCATTTGCTTTCCCTTCAAGAAGGTTTTCAATTCAGGGCAGATACGGATGTTTTCCAGTGAAGTTGCAGGCGAGCTCTACCTGAAGGAGCTGGCAATTGCAAGTGCTGCGGCGCAGGGCAAATACGAGGAGCCATGCTCGATGTTCTCCTCAAACTCGGTGTGACACGACCTGGTGCCAAATTGAAGAGGCTCTTTCCAAAGTCTTCTGAAAGGGCCATCCTTGACTTTGGAGGCCATTCGAGGGCATGATGCTGGGATTTGGGAAGATAAGGCAAGTGAGTGGGTCTGAAAGGAAATTTCCTCTTGCTGGGGCTGCAGGCAAGCTCAACAAATGAAGAGCCAGATGCGCATGAGCAGTTGAAACAAGCGCCGGTTCAGTCCCCAAGCTAAATCTGCCGTGACAAGCATTCCACAAATAAATTCAAACTCTACCTGCTCGTAGGCAGGTTTCCAATGCCGAACTGTAAGAACACCTGTCCCACCATAAAGGTATACAGCGTGGCCAGCCGTGCACACAATCATCCTATAGGTGTCTATGTCAAGGGTCGCTAACAGGAGAATCTCCCAGGCAAGTGGCCCAGAATGGACTCCTGGCCCAGAATGGACCCCTGAAGCAGTATTAGACCATTATTAGGCGCTATTAGCCCCTATTGTGATTGAGGGGCCCTTTTTGGTGGTCCTTTACAACCACAGGACGTGAACAACGCGATGTTTGTGCTCAGGAGGGAAAGCAGCCTGAGGTGATTCGCGACACTGCTGGCGCAAAGAAGGAGGACAAGAAGCCGGTAGAGGCCAAGAAGGAAGAGCCAAAGAAGGAGGAAGCCAAGAAGGAGGAGAAAAAGCCGGAGGCCAAGAAAGAAGAGCCGAAGAAGGAGGAGGCCAAGAAGCAGGACAACAAGCCGGAGGCCAAGAAGGAAGAGGCCAAGAAGGAGGACAAGAAACCGGTAGAGGCCAAGAAGGAAGAGCCTAAGAAGGAGGAGGCCAAGAAGGAGGACAAGAAACCTGTTTGTCCTTATCCTGATTGCCCGGTAGAGGCCAAGAAGGCAGAGCCCAAGAAGGAGGAGGCCAAGAAGGAGGAGAAGAAGCCTGAGGCCAAGAAGGAAGAGCCTAAGAAGGAGGAGGTCAAAAAAGGCGAGAAGCAACTGGTAGAGGCCAAGAAGGAAGAGCCTAAGAAGGAGGAGGCCAAGAAGGAGGACAAGAAGCCGGTAGAGGCCAAGAAGGAAGAGCCAAAGAAGGAGGAGGCCAAAAAGGAGGAGAAGCCGGTAGATGCCAAGAAGGAAGAGCCGAAGAAGGAGGAGGCCAAGAAGGAGGAGAAGAAGCCGGAGGCCAAGAAAGAAGAGCCCAAGAAGGAGGAAGCCAAGAAGGAGGACAAGAAAGAGGAGAAGAAGCCGGAGGCCAAGAAGGAAGAGCCTAAGAAGGAGGAGGCCAAGAAGGAGGACAAGAAGCCGGCAGAGGCCAAGAAGGAAGATCCCAAGAAGGAGGAGGCCAATACGGACGAGAAGAAGCCGGAGGCCAAGAAGGAAGAGCCTAAGAAGGAGGAGGCCAATACGGACGAGAAGAAGCCGGAGGCCAAGAAGGAAGAGCCTAAGAAGGAGGAGGCCAAGAAGGAGGAGAAGAAGCCGGAGGCCAAGAAAGAAGAGCCGAAGAAGGAGGAGGCCAAGAAGGAGGAAAAGAAGCCGGAAGCCAAGAAGGAAGAGCCAAAGAAGGAGGAAGCCAAGAAGGAGGAGAAGAAGCCGGAGGCCAAGAAGGAGGATAAGAAGCCGGAGGCCAAGAAGGAAGAGCCGAAGAAGGAGGAGGCCAAGAAGGAGGAAAAGAAGCCGGAGGCCAAGAAGGAAGAGCCTAAGAAGGAGGAGGCCCAGAAGGAGGACAAGAAGCCGGAAGCCAAGAAGGAAGAGCCTAAGAAGGAGGAGGCGAAAAAGGAGGAGAAGCCGGTAGAGGCCAAGAAAGAAGAGCCAAAGAAGGAGGAGGCCAAGAAGGAGGACAACAAGCCGGAGGCCAAGAAGGAAGAGCCTAAGAAGGAGGAGGCCAAGAAGGAGGACAAGAAAGAGGAGAAGAAGCCGGAGGCCAAGAAGGAAGAGCCAAAGAAGGAGGAAGCCAAGAAGGAGGAGAAGAAGCCGGAGGCCAAGAAAGAAGAGCCAAAGAAGGAGGAAGCCAAGAAGGAGGAGAAGAAGCCGGAGGCCAAGAAGGAAGAGCCCAAGAAGGAGGAAGCCAAGAAGGAGGACAAGAAAGAGGAGAAGAAGCCGGTAGAGGCCAAGAAGGAAGAGCCAAAGAAGGAGGAAGCCAAGAAGGAGGAGAAGAAGCCGGAGGCCAAGAAAGAAGAGCCAAAGAAGGAGGAAGCCAAGGAGGAGAAGAAGCCGGAGGCCAAGAAGGAAGAGCCCAAGAAGGAGGAAGCCAAGAAAGAGGACAAGAAAGAGGAGAAGAAGCCGGTAGAGGCCAAGAAGGAAGAGCCAAAGAAGGAGGAAGCCAAGAAGGAGGAGAAGAAGCCGGTAGAGGCCAAGAAGGAAGAGCCAAAGAAGGAGGAAGCCAAGAAGGAGGAGAAGATGCCGGTAGAGGCCAAGAAGGAAGAGCCTAAGAAGGAGGAGGCCAAGCAGAAGGATGCTGCAAACGAGAAGGTGTTTCGTTCGCACTCAGGGCATTTATTTTTTAAAATGGCCTCAACAAAGTCTTTTATGTTCAATCGCCTCGCATTGCCACAGTTCCGACCTTAGTGGCCAAAGCTGGAGGGAGCTTTTCATTCACACAGAAAGCCCACAATCCGAGGACCTAGTGCTTGCCTGAGGTGCTTTGGCATGCTTTTTTCTCGGCGAGATGCCGTGTGCTCGAGTGCGCGGTTTCACTGTTTCCAGCGCATTGCTTGTGATGCTCGACGCTATATGGCTTCAATGGTCACACGCAGTGAAATCTCGCGCTCAAGATCTTAGCTTGCTGCCTGGCAGCCGGCCGACAAGGCCACAAGGTTTAATTGCCAGGCTGAGCGTGTTTGCTTTGCCAGCAAAGGTTGGCGACCGTGGCTTTCCCGACGAAACGCCGCGGGGCCGATCCAGATTTCCCCCCGCAGGGGGGGTCGGCTGCCGACAAACTGGCCGTGTCCAAGCACATTTGTTGTTACAGATCAGGTAAAAATCCCAAATGCTTGAGCCAACCATGTTTGAAACCCTGAGTGGTGCGAGGTCGAAAGGCCACAGGAAAGCCTGAAGATTCCCAAATATGCCTGAGTATTGTACTCGGCTGAGTTTCAGCTTTCCTTCAGAAAACTGCTCAGTTGGCAAGTGAGGGCGAGTGTTGATTTTGGACCAGATATATCAGCCAATCAGCTGGCCTTTGGAGTAAATGCGGCGGTGCGTGGCAGCCGCCCCTTTTCCACAAAAGCCCCCCTATTGCGATCGCAGGCAATGCGGCTTTTCAAAGAACAGCGCTTGGCGCTGCAGATTTTCCAGGCCCCAAGGTACCATTTTGTGCATTAAAGGCGCCGTGCAAGCACTGCTCCACCGTAGGACGCAATTGGGCGCTTTTTCTGATCGCTGGTATCATTTGGCATCCTTGGGGCCGGATAGAAATGGACGGCCTGGCAAAAGCCATGCCTCTCCTTTCCAAGTTTGAGGCTTCAGAGTCTCAGCGCGGCAGAACAGCGACCTCAAAACCGCGGCCACTTCGCAGCATGTCACAGCATGAGAACCCCTTTGGTTTCTCAACGGACATGAACATGAACTAGCCAGTTGGGCGGCAAGCCATACAGGATCATACTGGTGGGCAGATTCAACGGCCATTGTTTTGCGCAGAAGCGTGTCGTCTCAATATCTCCGAATGAAAGATGAAGGCCCCCCTCTGGTTGAGTCCCGAAAGATTGGCAATCCCTCCGCTTGTAAGATTCACACTTGCAACGTCAGATCAGGCAATCATTGAATCATAGTCATTGCCTGTTAGTTATGTTGGCTTCCCCAGAAGAATCAGAAGAGAACTTGCAAAGGGCGACCAGTGACTTGTTGTCAGAGTTCGAATTGTGAACGACCTGGCTGGATATGCGTGCTGCGCTATTGACGCTGCTTCTCCCAGTTGGGCAGATTTGTTTGTTGGCGTGTCTTGTTTAGTATTCGCGTGGAAGTTGTCGTGTACCGCAAAGGCTTCGCGCAGGCAACCTGGTGGGGGGTGGGATCGCGACAGCATTCCGCACAGGCCATCCCAACAACATCCTGCATAGACAGGCGCACATATGCCGCATAGGCGTGTTTTTGCCATGTTGTGCAGACGAAGGTAGGCACTTTTTGACGATATAGGCCCGAGCAGGCACACTTCCACATGGTCACATGTGCTTCCAATCAAGCCATCCACCTAGGCATGCTTCAAATGCGCGGTTTTACGTACCAAACACAAAGCTCCGAGTTGAAGTCAGGGATCATTTGAGGGATGCAGCTCATGTGCCGCCTGGCTCTAGCTGAGCCGCCCTTCCGGGGTCACTGGCCAAAGAACCGCACTTGCGGGTCCCGGATTTTTGGTGCGGGCCTCGGAGCTCACGAGGGTACTTTTCGGCCTGGCCGGCGCGTGATACGACCTCGCCCGAACTCGTGTTTCTGAAAAACAAACGGATTTGCACCATTTGTTTGGCTTTGCGGCCTTCTAGCGCGGATGTGCCTTGAGACAAGAAAGGTCAATGGGCGCTGGCGGTCATGGTTGGTTTTAGCACGCTGCAAGTTCCTCGTGGGCAATTAGTTCATTTGCTCGTGTAATTGTTGAATTTGTGTGAAATCACTTTCCAGGTCTCAAGAGGCTCGATTTGGATAAGAAAGTTCGTCAGGCGAGGGCTATTGAGGATCGCCATGTCGCTGGGATCCCAGTTTCCGCGCGGAGAGAGAAGGCAGTTTGGATAGAATGCCACCCGTGTCCACGTGTAGACGACTTCCCTTTTTACGGACCTGTGACCTGCTGCCGCTTCCCTTTTTTGCTAGAAGGCATCAAGTCGCCTGCAATTCCTCAGTCAGCCTTGGTGGCTGAACCTTGAGGCAGATGGTTGGCTCGCTGGATACGAGCTCGCTTGGCCGAGAAGCCCAGACTCTTTCACGGGAGGGTCTTGAGCTAAGAGCAAAACGATAGCTCGATGAGGACATGCTTCCCTTGAAATCCTTGCAAGTCAACATGAAATCGAGTGGCCTGAATCTGTGCTGATCCCCTGCCATTTGGAGGATGACGGCCTTGGGGCCTGATGAAGTCTATTCAGACAACATGCACATCTCAGATGCTGGTGTGTGCAGATAACCCTGGGCAGCGAGAGGTAATGTGGGATATCCCACCTGCTGCAATTACTGGTAATAACATGTTGAGTTGGTTTGTGTTCCGATACTCCGGCTTATTCCAAGGAATCCCTCAACCGGAAGATGCCTAACAATCCTGTACACTTCACACCTGGCTTGCGACCGGGCCAGACTAGCCTTTGATTCCCAACAGGCATCGTGGGGGAGGCCCACGGAATCTGACAAAACTTTGCTGAGCTTACAGCATTCTTTGTTGTCCACATTAGCAAAAGAAGTCAAAGGTGATGCATTTTTGCATTGAGAGGCATGCAGCAGGGTCTTCAGCACTGGACTCCTGCGCTGGACATTGATCCAGCCATCGCACAAGTCCTTGCAGTATGGGGTTCTGCTCAGGCGTGATCCATGACGTGCAGTTGGATTATTACGCCAAGCGGGCCGCAGCAGCTTCTAGCACCCTGGCTGGACGAGAATTTCACGAGAGCGGGCAGGTTTGAGCCCTTGTTGGTTTCAGAGTGGATTACCAATGCTGCGGCCGGGCCAACAGAGCTGTGAAGCAAAGATTGGTTTGGAGTTTGGAGTCAGTTGCCATGTGCTTGAGGTTTGACCGTAATTATCCAATGAAGCGGGTTTGGTACATTGGCGTGCCTTTTAGGAATCCCTTTCATTGAGCGAAAATCAGGGCAACCGCCAGCAGCCCAGATCCCCAAAATGCCCATTAAGCTTTGGCCGCCTTCCCGGCTGAGGCGACGGCAGCGTGCGAATCTGGGACGTCACTGACGGCCGACAGCAGCAGATCGGGCACCTCAAGGGCCACGAGGGTCCCATCTGGAAGGCGTGTGAGAACTGGCATGGCGGATTGCTGCTTTGGGCAGGGAGATTGTTTCATATTTGTTCAATTGAGTTGAGTTCCATTTGTGTGCTTCACTGGAGTGATGTGAGCGAATAGCAGCCTCAGTCAGATATGCTTATCTCTGCTTGACTTACCTGATCCTGTAGCGTAGGAAACGCACCGGTTTGCTCAAAACCATGGACCTCTTGGCGCCATTGCTGCTACAAGCATTGCATGTTGGCTGTGCACCCGCCATTTCTGGCTCGCAGTTGCTGGCACAAAGGTAAGAGCAATAAGCATGAAGCAACTGTAGGTCAAGCCGCCTGCACAGTTTTTCGCAGAGTTTCTGAACAGAAAGCGGCAACTTGCCGGGGGCTCGTGTTTGCTAGACGTGCGATCATTGAAGGATTCTGCAACTTCATGCAAAAACACTAGCCGCAATCAAACAGCAGGACGATTGTACTGGGCACAGACTTGCCAGAAAGCACGGTGCGCTCATGTACTGTAAATGCTTGCTCCCCTCCCGGAACCGACAAAATTCCGGGTTCCTTCTCCCCTTGTGTGGGAGAGAACAGCCTTGTCAGCAGTTCCTTCTCATTGTATGAGACTATAAGTTGCACGGTCTCTTTCGTTCTTCAAGCAAGGGTCTAAGTTGGGGTACCTCCTGATGAACCCCCTTAGCCCTACCCTCCTTGGCTGGCAGCGTCGCCAACAAATGCCAGGCTGACCTGGATCCGTGACTTTGACCGACCCTTTGGTCTAAAAAGGGTCCTGAACAGCTATTGACCCCCATCTTCCAGTCATGGCTGACCTGCTGAAGCAGCGCGTGCACAGCCACTTCACCAGGGACAAAACGCAAGCTGGTTTGGGCGCTCAAGCAATGCTCAGTCCCAGCCTTCTTTCAACCGACATTGCCGGCAGAATCACAGACGACCACACTCAGAATTGCGTGCCGGCGCAGAGAGTTGTGAGGATGATGCCTTCTTAACATAACAAATCACGCGCGGGTGCTGTTGTTTTCATCCCGGCGCAGCCCACCTTGGCGTCTCATTGGATACGAACTTGACAATGGAATTTAGAGCATGTTTGGAATGGCTACCGGGGCAAGCCCCAAGCCGAGTGCCCTGGACTCGATCAAGCGCAGTTGGGGTTCTATGCAGCGCAAAGGGCCGACAGGTACAACGCAGCGCCATGTCCTGATGTCGCATTGTTGAAGCGCACAGCTCCATGTTTGCGAGAGCTCTGATATTCCGATGCTGATGTTGTTGCATGCTCATCACGTCTGAACCCATTCTTTAAAACGTACTGCACAGGTAGCCTTGCAAGTTTATGCCCAAGTGGCCTGAAACGGCAGATAAGCGAGCTTCGCTTTCGGTCTACTTTTGGCCCATGCGAAAGCCTCTTTCTGCCACCTTCGTTTAGCAACCTCAACATTCCCATACTTCCATGACTCAACCACATGGTCAAAGGAAGTTTAGAAGGAACTTCCGTGTTACGGCAACTATTTGAAAGCTAGCTCTCCCTGAGACAGATGACAAGAGAAGGAATAAGCGCGCGAGAAAAGATGCGCGCGCGTGTGGTGGGAGAATAGAAGTGCGCCAAAAGCGTGGCCCTGTGCGTGAATTTGCATGTCCGGAGAACTGAAAGCTAGCCTGTTCGCGGCGCCTGGTCGGACCATTGTCGGACCATTGTCGGACCATTCTCGGACCATTCTCGGATCACGTTCGCAGCGCGGGCCCATTGGCACGGCAACGCGAAGGTTTCGCAAGGTTTGAATTCCGTGGCAAGCGCAGTACTTTTGCAAGGTGAGGTACAGATTTCGTGGCAGGCGCAGCACTTTCGCAAGGTCAAGTTTCCCCAAGGATTGAACTGCGTGGCAGGCGCAGCACTTGGGCAAGGTGATGTACAGATCTCGTGGCAGGCGCAGCACTTTTGCAAGGTCAAGTTTCCCCAAGGGTTGAATTGTGTGGCAGGCGCAGCACTTTCGCAAGGTCAGGTGCAGATTTCGTGGCAGGCGCAGCACTTTCGCAAGGGCAAGTATAGAATGTGTGGCAGGTGCAGCACTTTCGCAAGGTCAAGTGCATATTTCGTGGCAGGCGCAGCACTTTCGCAAGGACAAGTGCAGAATTCGTGGCAGGTGCAGCACTTTCGCACGGTCAAGTAAAGATTCCGTGGCACGCGCAGCACTTTCGCAAGGTCAACTTTTAAGTACGAAAGTAGTACGCGAAGTCAACTTTCGCAGCTGGGGCTCCAAAATCGCAACTTTTATGTACTAAAGTAGAACGTGAAGTCCACTTTCGCAGCTGGGGTGCGCGAAGTCCACTTTCGCAGCCCGGGCTCGCAAATCGCAACTTTTAAGTACGAAAGTAGTACGCGAAGTCCAGCTGGGGCTCGAAAATCGCAACTTTTAAGTACGAAAGTAGTACGCGAAGTCCACTTTCGCAGCTGGGGCTCGAAAATCGCAACTTTTAAGTACGAAAGTAGTACGTGAAGTCAGCTGGGGCTCGAAAATCGCAACTTTTAAGTACGCTTTCGCAGCCGCCACCAGAAAATCGCAACTTTTAAGTACGAAAGTAGTACGTGAAGTCCACTTTCGCAGCTGGGGCTCGAAAATCGCAACTTTTAAGTTCGAAAGTAGTACGCGAAGTCAACTTTCGGGGATTGAAAATCGCAACTTTTAAGTGCAGATATAGATGGATAGATAGATAGATCAATAGACAGATAGAGAGATAGCTAGAGAGATAGATAGAAAGAGATAGAGAAAGAGATAGATAGATAGATAGATAGAGAGAGAGAGACAGAGCAAGATAGATAGATAAATAGACAGAGAGATAAAGAGATAGAGAAATAGATAGATAGATAGATAGATAGATAGATAGAGAGATAGAGAGATAGATAAACAGAAAGAAAAAGAGATAGACAGATAGATAGATAAATAGATCGATAGATAGATATAGATAGAGAGATAAATAAATAGATAGATAAACGATAAACAATCAGATAGATAGATAGACAGATAGATAGATAGATAGATAGACAGACAGAGAAAGAGAGAGAGAGAGAGACAGAGATAGAGGGATATAGAGAGATGGATAGATAGAGATAGAGAGATAGGTAGATATATAGATAGAGAGATAGAGAGATAGATAGAGAGATAGATAGATACATAGATAAGCAGATAGATAGATAGCACGAGAGATAGATAGATAGGTAGTTAGGTACAGATAGGTAGAGAAAGATAGATAGACAAGCAAACGAAAGAAAGAAAGAAAAGACAGCTGGAAAGAAGGAAAGAAGGGAGGAAGGAAGGAAAGAAAGGAAGAAAGGAAGAATGACGGAGAAAAGGAGTCAAGAAAAGAAGGAGAAAGAAAACTATAGTTTAATATTTTGGAAACTTCCGCCCACCGGCTTTGCCGGCTCTACTGGTATTGAGACCAATGTGAGCCTGAGCCAAATAGTTATTTCCTTGGAGACCCTCAAATGCAAACGGCAGCATGACCAGGCAAATCGAGCTGCTCCGCAACCAAACCGCAAGCGTAGACCGATTGAACTTGTTTGCTTTGACCTGCCTGCCTTGCTCAGCAAATGCGTGAACTATCATTTCTGCTTGTGTCAGGGCGTCTGGAGCACTCGTGAAAATTGGAATCCCGTTCATGTGTCCCAGGCTTTGTGACGATCGGCACCTTGCCAGGTCTCTTGGGCTCACCCTCGCTTCGGCAATCTGCTGGCAACGGCAGGCACAGCCCACGAAACCTCACCATGGGTGTTGTCATAGCGTTGGCAGATTGTGGCGTAACTTACATGTCTCTCTCGCCAACTTGATGATATGGCGTGCAGTGATTCACGCTTGTTTCTGATTGTCTCATGTTGGCTGTCCATGTGGCTTTGCTTGGGCTCTGACAGGTTACGACATGAAGGTGATCGTTTGGAAGGAGGCCAGGTAAGCTGGCGTTGATTGTACGCTGAAGACCGTTGCGCGCAAGACTGTCAACTCATATTTGGTTTGGGACCGTCTGTGCCTGGCACCTATGATTATGCAAATGAGCAGTGCTTCATGAGGCGTCAATACAGGATCATGCCATAAATCCTAGTCCTCACAATAATGTGTGCACATTTGTTGAAAAGCCAGCTCGCGAGAAGTCAGCAGAGGTGAGTCAACAAGCATGCCAGGTTTGCGATTTTAAAGACACCGTGCGCTGACTGTGAACAGGTTGTTCATGAAGTAGTCCGGTTGGCTCTCCGTTGTGCATGATGCTGTGGGCCAAGCAGTATGCCAGGAGCGGGGGCAGTGGGTCATGGCTTACGTGGACTCCAATCACGGGGCGTCAGTGAACGATGTGGAGCCGAAGCCTTGGTTTTGCGGCAAGTTTGGTCACACAGTCCCTGAAAAGCAGGATGCAACGAACATGGACAGAATGTGAACCTGCTGATTAATCGTTGATTTCTGGAGAAGGCGTTTCGTCTGGGGGCCCGGCCGTTTTTGCGAAGCAATCCACGTTGCAGATGAGAAGCCAATCAATGAAAATTGAAAGACACGGGCAACAATGCCAGCTCCCCGGTGTGCAGTGAATGCTGTGGAGCACAGTACGCAGAAATCATGCACCCAAAACATCCGAAAGCACTGGTACTGCAAAGTGAGCGGTCATTTAGGGCATACATTGCTTTGGCCAATTCAACCCGGCATCAGCTGTTCTCAGTGTCGCCATGGTTTATGCGAGTCCCCCAGTCATGTGGTGGCATCCTGTTGATGAATTCCTTGACTCCGATTTGTTACCTACTTGAAACCTTAGTATTTGATCATTAAGAAGGATAGTCTGGGGCATGCAGGGTCTTAGGTATCACTTGAAATGCGCGGCGTACCACCAGACACGCTTGAGAGGAACAACGTGAAGGTTTGTCCCTGGTGGAGCTTGCTATCTCCAATAGGCTCCCTTCTTGGATGCCAACCTTGACAGCGCCAGGAACCTGTGTTGCTTTCTTGTAAGGGTCCCTACGTTGAGAGACCCCCTTTGGCCCGCGACCTTGATAGCGCTTGATAGCCTGCCCCGAGGTTTGCTCCCCAAGAGCACGGCCTGCGGCTGGCCTCTGCCTCCTCAGACGGCAGCGCCCGGGGGCCAAAGAGATGGCAGCGCGGCGACCTGCCGTTGTCTTGCTTCCTTTGCACGTGTGGATCAAGTCCCACCTAACTCCCTTTGCTTTTCCTTGCTATTTAGTTGCCTTGGCGTTTCACACACTTCCAAACATCTTGCTGTCAGGAACTTGTTGGTACTGACTGGGCCGAGAATTATTTCGCTCTTGCTTTGATGCAAAGAACCGTGGCAAAGGAGCTGTCTGTGTGTAGGCTTTGCGGGCTTCTTGTCGTTGTTTTTGAAGGACTTCAAAGTTTTTTTGTTGCTAAGGATTTCATATTCAGGGCTTCAATTTCTATCATCAGTCTGGCTTCAGGAGGTTGAAGGTGGTCCCTTCAAAAGAGAGGAAGGGAAAGGGGTTTGGGGCTGGTCCGAGGTAGCAGTGCTCACCTACTCCGCCGATGGCTCCTGGCGGCGCAGTGCAGGGAGGCTCAGCGGGCAGGCAAAAAGTCCGACGTTTGGGGCGATGCTCTGTGAAATTTGCAGCCAAGTGACGACTGCCCGAGTGAAGCGGTGGTCCTACCAGAGGCCTGCTCCATATGAGCCGATTTGCATCCAAATGCGCTCCGCAAGAGCGTAGCTCAGAAACGTCCAGAAGCACAGACAGCCAAACAAGTGAAGACCAGAACTATCAATCCCACAGACAAATCCATAAGACTCCTTTTCACTTCTTTTCGCCAATCCAATCGGAATGCAGTGGAGGCTTCGCTTGCATGCGCAAAGATCACGCCTTGGACAAATTGTGGGGAAGTTGTCAAACATGCACAGTGCACGTGTTGGGAAAGCAGAGCTGTTTGAACCGTACCTTTCCTCAGACTACGCTTAATTGCCAATCCGCCATTTGTGTAAAGCCCATATTCACAGTGCCAGAAGAAAGAGCATGAAACGAAGCCAGCGCCGAGGTGATGCAGGCGCACCCGGGGGGAGCCCAGACACTGAACTGGGCCCCTGGCTGGGGCGCTCAGATGCCTTGAAGAGCCTTGGGATTGAGGGCCAGGGGCGTGGAAGCCCTTTTGCTTCGTTCCACTTGCCAAACACGAGCCTGCCAGGATGTCTACACACAGTGCTGCCTGAAGGGAGCAGACACCATGATTTGCCATCATCTGTCTGCAGGCCACATGTGATTCTGTCGTTTCTGGCAAGCGGGCGGGGACCTGGCCCCTGAAATCAGATGTGTGAGAGGCTGGATTCTGGATGACCTGGTGCTTGTGCAGCAGACAGTAGCACGCTTCTGCCGTTGCAATATCTCGACCAACCTCAGCGGTGCCCTTGTCAGCCTCATTGATGCATTGTTTGGAATGATAAAATCCAGCCACACGCTGAGCTGGTTTGAGTTGTCGAACCCTTCGTATCCTTTGTCAAACCTGCTACACTGGTCAAATTATCAACCTTGGTCTGACTGAATCAGACGTGCACCAGCCTTCGACGTCTCGCACCGCCCAGTTAGCTATCGGGACGGCGTGCCCAGCAGCCCTGTGCGCGTGGCCACGGGTGGCTGCGACCACACCGCAACTCGGCGGGACACTGGGACCATTCAGGGCAGGCTTACTCAAGGCTTTTTGCTGGACAACAAGACGGTCAGAGTGACCCTTGGAACCGGAAGAGCGCCAAATTTGTTTAGAACATCAGAAACTAAAGAGCTCAGGGAGCATGATTAGAGCATGTGATAATTGCATCTCACAATCCTCTACACCCACTGGAAGGTTGTATCTTTGGATCTTTGTTTCTGCTTTTCCCACAGAGTTCGCTGATGTCCGAGGTGAAGATTTGGAGATTCGACAACGAGGCGTGTGTCTACGCATGTGAAGCTCCAAAGCAGCAACCTTTTTCTTGCCCCTTCTGGTGAGCCTACGCGACAGCTGATGCAGAAGACAAGGAACTCTCACAGAGAAGCGACATGCAATGCAACAAGTGACCAAACTCCTGGGTTCTACCTGGATGTTGCCGCATGTTGCAATCCACGTAGTACATGGCCGTTAATCGACACTGCGATCAAACCTCATTTTGCCGTCCCCCAAGACCTATGTTGCCGTCGCCCTAGCTGGAGGTTTGGTGCGAGGAGAATCCTCGCTTTCCTTATGCCCACACAGACTGGGCAGCGAGCTCGGACCATTGAGGAGCTGCTCAACTTGAAGGGATCCCTTCTGAGTCATGGCCAAGCCTTTGCCAAAAGCTGTTTTGATGCCGGCCTTCAGACTTAGTGGCTTGAACCATGTGCCATCATCAAATTCATTGTGGGGGGGCTATCAGAACCTTTGAGACATAATATTACATACTGAATCGATGGCAACATGACAGCTTTCCAGCAAGAGCACGGCGCGTAGCGGTCAAGGATTTGTGCAACCTTGCTACATAGTGCAACCCAATCGCAACTTCTAAACACTGGCAAGGCAAGTGCAAGCCCTTGATTGTTACAGAGAAGCGTGCCAGTTGTTCGTGTCCCATGCTAATTCCAAGGCTGTTGAGCTACTGTTAGCAAACAGCAGGTGGGGGTGATTGTGAAAGGGCTAAAGTCCGCTAAAGAGTGCCATAACTCCATAAGTGATCTAGGAGTTTCTCAGCTCAGCTGGGGTCCGCGTGAGGTTCGGGACGTGGCCTGGCGGCCGGACCACTCCAGCGTGTTGGCGACAGGGACGCCGGGGTGTAGGGTGTGCTCTCGCTGCCAATTCAGCTCTCTGAATGGAGCCAAGCAAGCCGGCTCTTTTTAATGCCCATTCACAGTCATTCAAAGATGCCTTGGGCCTGTGAAAGAAAAACAGCTCAAGGCTCAAAATTGCAGAGGCCACGGCATTGTACTAGCCAGCAATGCAGTTAGTGAGTCAGCGAGCGTGCCATTTTGTGTGGAAGGAGCTGGGACCAGAGCGTCGTGATTTGGACTCAGGAGATGGAGGGCGCGATTGCCCAGGGGGCCAGGGTGGAAGGAATCTGTAAGGAGCTCCTGCTTGACTGTATGATTCGTATGATATTGAAATTATTGTGCTTGCGCCTTTTCGTTTGTTTCTTGATTGGCTTTGGCCTGCGATCGACACACTGTTCCCAATTGCCAATTGCCGCTTAAGGGGGCAGTGGGAACGGTTGTGAACATGTGTGTGTGTGTGTGGCAGCCCAAACCCCAGCCGAGGGAAAGCTTACCAACTGGATGACTTTGTCATGGCTTGATCATCGCCAAGTACCGGAATTCCCTGGAGTTCCATTTCTCAATGCCTTGGACATCAGCAGCGTGTTCACCTCCTTTTCTGAATTCAGTGTGTGGGTGTTTGCCACAAAACTCTCGAACATGTCCAAAATGAGCAACCCAACTTGAACCTAATTGTGTCAAACCAATTCAAGGTGGCCCGTGAAGCCTTAAACCAAGCCAAGCTCCAGAACAATCGGCCAGCAATACCTCTGGCGCACGGAGATGTACGTTGGTGCCAAATGGTTGATATGCGCGCTGCGCAGAGATGGGTATGCTTGCCTGCAAGCTGTGATTGGAGTACCTTTGTATTGTTGTGCCTCAGATGCTCCTGCACTGTGTTTGGGGATGGACATCCTGGATAGGCAAACCACCCAATCCTGATGAACATGATCATGCTGTTTCCCCTTTTGCTATTCAAGTAGGTGTCCTTGTTTGCCTTTGGGAGCATGTCTCTGAACCCCTCTTTCGTTGCTTGAAGAGAGCAACCTGGTGAAAACAAGATGGACACCAACCATTTAGGGGACTCCGAGCGATGAGGACAGCCTTGCCCGCTCCGAGGCCAACCCTGGCGGCAGCTGTGCAAGCTTCCGGTGAACGGCAAGGTGGAGTGCCTCTCTTGGAGCCTTGGGCAGCAGAGTGGACGGTGGCGCCATGGATATTCGTTCAGGGGCCGCTTTGTATTTGGTGGACTTCATAAACATGTCCAGGGGCAAAGACGATGGGAGGGCCATCGCCGTGCACTGGCTCCAAGGCGAGCACGTCAGATTTCACGAAAGCACTGCTGGAGTTGCCTTACCTAAGCCATGCTTAGCCATGGGGTGTGGGGCCCCTGTTCATACGAATATGGAATTTAGGTTTGGGCAATGTTGCGCATGTTTTTTGGCAAGGTTGTAGGCACCACACCCCCTGTCACCGTCGGCCTAAAATTCCCAAGCCGCAGCCAGGGATGTGAGCATCTGGCATTCCGAATGGACGTTGGAATTGGGCCAAAGATCTTGTTTGTCATGGAAAAGGAGCACTTTGTATGAGATGTGTCCAGCCCCAGAGATTTGGCGTGCGTTCCGCAAAGGCCTCGCATTCATCGCTGTTTTGTCTGGCAGGCAATCTATGCTGCGTCTTGGCACTTGCTCAGAGCGCTCAGGTCTATCACTGGTAGCATGCTGGCCGTCTCCTATGGCGTCTGGGCACATTATGCAGATCTCGTTTGCACTGCAGGGCATTTCTATCATTCAACACATTGGTGATTGTTTGTCTAAGTGACGAGCCCAATACGTAAGAGCCTTGGAGAAGGGACGCATGAGAGGGAGGTGCACAAATGGGGATCCAGCCTTTTCACGTTTCCTGTCTTGTTGAAAGGCTTTCAAGTGGTCATGGTATTCTGCCATTGTCAAATTGTGATGGCAAGCTTGGCAATAATGCTGTACATGTTGTACGTACCGGCTTTGATGGACAAAAAAACCTCTGGAGCCTCCTTAGCTGTATACAGCTAAAGACGTCTGACCGACAAAATTAGCCCCTTGTTCAGGTGATGGCTTGTCCGTGATCTTCAAAGAGGCCGCAACTGAGCAAGCGATGCGAACGCACTGGAAAGATTGCCCCATCAGATTTACACGAAATAAGCCACATGAGTTGTCTTGAGCGCTGAAGATGCACCTGCGCATCAGCTGCCCGAAGTGATCAGTTTCTGCTCATCACGACCGACTTTTCAGCGAGGTCATGGATTGCTGTGTTTGCGCACAAAGACGTGCAAAAGTTACGAGAAGTTAGTATACTTGGAGATACTTGCAAATTCTATGCCGAGCATCTCTTCCTGTTGCGTATGTGTGGCCGCACAGTGGCATCTTGCAGACACTTAGTACAGGCCTACGATGGCCACTTTGAGGAGGTGGGCAAGATCGAGGAGTCGGGCTACACGGAGGCAGGATTTGACTGCACAAACAGCACTGAGAGCACTGAAGACAAGATGAGTTATAGTCTATGGTGGCGTGTGGCACTTGATATGTTGTGTTTTGTTTGCACACGGTTCAGTGACCCTTCAGGATTGTAGTAATGAAGCATGGTGACCATTAAGGACTCTTGAGAACACATGGCTATGACCGGTCTCGCCAGATCAGCTGACAGCCCCCAACACCAGGAGCACAAGTACCATGGCAGCAACTGTAACACTGAGGATTGAGACTATCAGAGTCAAAGACTTGAATGTAGATTCCCGGCAAAGGCTGGAGGCAAGTGTCTCCAGTTCACATGCTTAGTATTAGTACTCGTTGCCCCATGGCGCAGGTGCCTGGCAAGCTGGCGCCAATGCCAGGCGAGAACGGAGGATCCTTGGCCGGGCTGGTTGAAGAAGGCATCAGGCAGCAAGGCCCATTTTTGTTGGACAAGTGGTTTGCCCTATAAATATGCTCCCATCTTGGAAGGTCATTTTGGAGCACCGACTGCCCTTATCCAAAGATGGCCAGGCAGGTTGGTGATGCAGTGCGAGAGTAGAGGGCCATGACTCCAAGCTATGCACGTTGGTGTGCATGTATGTGTGTGTGTGTGTGGGCGGTCAGGTCAGGTCTGTGCAGAATGTCTATATATTATATATATATATATATATATACAGGTTTGTCCAACCCGAAGAGTCATTGCTCATGGATGTTTGCTAGCCCCACTTCGCCAGCGGATGTTCCTCGCCGCTTCAGGGCCCGCAGCCATCATAGACCACCCTAGGGCAATCCACACAGCCAAAATGATCTCATTCACTGTCAAGGGATGCCATCTTAGGAAGGCATGCTCTAGGGGAATCCGCGCAATCAACATAGTTATAGTATGCACACTGGCAGATCTTCTTTTTGTTGCAAGTCACAGTAGAGAGAGCGAGAAAGAGCGATAGAGAGAGACGGAGAGAGAGAGAGAGAGAGAGAGAGAGAGAGAGAGAGACAGAAAATAAAAGATAGAGAGGCGAGAGATGCGAGTAGATATGTACTGCATGTATAAATATAAGGCGTCTGCATTTATATGTATTATGTATTTGCGTATTTATAAAGCCATCTCCGACCCGTAGAAGCCCTCTTCCACACCGTGCTCTTGCTTTCCGGGTCTGTATTTGGTGTGCGTTGTGTGTGTGTGCGGTGTGCGGTGTGTTTGTGTGTGTGTGCGCGCATGTGGACCCACACGCGTGGATTCTGACATTTGCTCAGACTTCTGAGGATCGATCGATCCCTTATCTTGTCAGACCACGCCTGGTTCTCAAAGTTTCAAGCCATTTGGCATTCCGACTTTTGAAGCGGACGGGCTAAGCCACACTACTTATAGGCGATACGTTCAAGCATTTTCAAGCATTGACTCTTCACCTTTTGACAGCATTGAATCAAGTGTGTACTTCCCTGCTTTGCCGAGCAGGTGCAGGCGCTGATGGCTATGGCCAGGCAGGAGTCATCGCACCCCGCTCTCCGCGATGGTTTCCGCACTATGCTGACAGCTTGTGGATGGTATGCTGACCCGTTCAAACGTTGGCTGCCTTCCCAATGGCTGCCTTGTAGCCAGATTGTTTGAACTGGGATACATTCTGAATGCAGGTGCTCTTCTATTTGAGAAGTAACAGTCGTACTCGAAGACACATCAGGCGTCAAATCAACATGAACATGCCCGTCTCAAGATCAGCCATACGAGCCAAAGAGCAGGTCTTACCATGTCTTACCAGAAAACAAATGAGTCTTGTTCCATGCAGGCGAACATGTGTGTTTCACACAATAGACACACCTACTTGCTGATCGGAAGCACAAGCCTTGACCCCCCTGGCCCATTATCATTAGTTTGTACGGTCTTCGTTTGACAATGAGAAGCACCCATGATGAAGCTAGCTTTCTCGGGCGGGGGGAGTTGTGGCCACCTGCGTATGCGCGTTTGACCATCGAATTCAACGAAGAAAGTTACCCGGGCGAGTCATCAAACTTGCTCTCCACCCCAAACATCTTATTGATTGTTTTGCGATCCACGATGCCAAATAACGATTTGATCACAACGCCATGTTTGCGTAGTGTCGCACTGAGTTGTTCAGTAGCATGGATTCAAATGCTCGGCAATACATCGTCCATCATCCCACGTCCCTGGTACCAGTAAAGAGGGATGCACCACTGGACCAATGATCTGACCTCTTCCCTCGAAGAACAAACAATTTGGGTTGAATGCTGTAATCACAGCCGCCATCCGCTGGTGTGTAGCAAGAGCCTCGCTGGACACACTTTAGACAACTTCGGTTCACCGGAAAGGCATGACACATGAGTGGTCAATGGTCAGCTCATCATAGCTGGATTCTTTTGGGACGAGTTCTCTCATTCAGCAGGCAGCACCTGCTGCCCCTGCTGCCAATGCCGTCAACTCAGAGATGGCTCAGCAGCAGCAGGCAAGGCCCGGGAATTACCCGGGTTGGCAAAATCCAGGACGGGGGGACCACATTTCTTCAAACTTGCCAACATGAACCGTGTTAATTCTAAGGTCCCGAACATTGCGGCCATAAATAAGTAGGGAGGTCGGATCGCCGCAGCTGGTTGAAGCGATGTGCAACCCCCACATTGTTATTCAGATAGATGCTGCAATGCAGGGCAGGTAGTTCACTGTAACTGCGTGTCAGAGCTGCAAAGCTTGATCGGCGTCTCCAATTTCCTTGCGCTCCAGAAGCACCGTCAATGTATAACATCGATATGTATGCACATCTTTGCTGCAGTCAGAACTGATATTCATAATATTTTTGAACCATGTTCACCCTTTTCCACGCCTCCGCCCAAACTCGAGCATTTTGCTAACCAGGCATCTGCGCAAGCCAAATCCTTTAAGCCGCTTTAGCGAGCTTTCTTCTAGATTCACATTTCCTTTGAATCCAAAAACCAAAAAACAAAAGAAATCAACACCAGCAATACCGGGCTCTGGACAGAGATGGAGCTGCCAGACCTTTCTCCAGGGAGAGAGGTTGTTTATTCTGCTTCTCTCTTCTTATTGTTTTTGTAGTTTTTTTGTCGTTTTTCTTTCCCCGCAGGTTTTGTTCCGTATTTGTTGAATCCAACGGGAAGCTGTTAGACTGTCTTTTGGAAGTTTTTTTTTGACATGTCTGGACTCAGAGGGAAGTCGCCAGATTGCCTTTTGGAGGGCCATGTTCAATAGTATATATTTATACAGATACACGAGCCATAATGGCCAAACCAAAGCCAGGAAGGAGCTGAACACCTGGAAATGAGAAGAACAACCTGTAGGCCCGACAACTAGGACTAGCCCTTCTTTTTTGAAAGTCTCAGCGGAGAGGCGCAGAGCCGCAATTTTCGATGGTTCAAGTGAAAGAACAAACCTCCACGCATCTGCCAGGCTGTCTTGGAGGCCTTCGGCATGTAAGACGGCACTGAGCCAGATTGGAGCATGCAGACAGGGCAAACCACCCCGCGGCGCGCTGCTTTGCAAAGGTTGGTGTTGAATTGAATGGTTTTCATTCCTGTCACAAGCCGGTGGGAGGTGCCATATAGATTCAGGGTATGCACAAGGTTTTACTCGTATGTATACTTCCGTGTGTCCGCGTGTTTGAGATGTTTCATGCCACATCCCTCTTAGTGGAGTCGGGGATTCTCTTGCAGGGGCTTGCTGGGAATTTCACATGGGCTCTAGGCCTCTTGATTACTTTCTTTTCAGGTCTTGTGTTGCTTTGATTCTGCTACAACTACAACTAGTGCATGGGTGCAGCTTGCAACAATGGAAGCCATCGGCTTGAAGCATCCTACACAGAAACAGAGAGCCCTCTTCCTGCGGTTGCTGGGCGACCGGCGCTCAACATCACCGCGGTTCGGGGCGGAGTTCATGCGAGCTTGAAACCAAGCCGGTGAGTGTGGTGCAGAAACAGCGCCGACGCTGCAAGCGTCGAGCAAAAAGAGCTGCGCAGTGCTCCATGATCAGCCTGCGACGTCACCAGGTTGGGCCTAACCCGAGCTGCAGCGCATGGGATCAAGTATCATTGCGCAGGTCAATCTGTGCTCAGCTTGCAAGGGAGCAAAGGAGCACATTGCGCTGGACGCATGCCACGCTTAGGTTCTGTGTTTTTTTGGGCAGCTGGTTGCAGATTTTGATGCAAGACACTCAGTCTGAACCCGGACTGGCGCACGTCATGCCGAGTAATCGTGCAACTGCTGGACCAAAGATTTGCAACGCAAAAACAGAGCCGCAGATGGGCGTCCCAAATGAGTTTCACAGACATGCCTCACCCCCGTCACATGTTTGCAGTCTTAGCCAAACATCCTACCAACCGGAAGATGCGCTTACGGGGCCTGCGTTTTGCCTTGGTGCATTTAATTTACCCTGGCCAAAACTCACGCAAAGTATTAATTTCTAAAGGCGCAGAGGCGACTTTTCGTCTCAGCGGGCTGGGCAGTAGTGACACAGCTTGCGCCGTTCCACATGCTTGGCTGCGCATACCGGCATATACCAGCTTCCGTGGCATGGAAGAAAACACCAAAGGTGAGTCGCCCCCGCAACTGCTACGCTGGACAACTTACCCTTCCAATCTCCAGCAAAAGTCGGCTTGTGCAACTGGGTGGGCGTGTCTTGGCCCCATCTTGCAGAGCCGCGCCTTGCAAGGCGATGCCGAAGCAAATAATGTCCGCAGCCATGTCTCGAAGCAGCCCCCTTAATTGTTTTTCATCGCACGAAGCCGCTCGATAACAAAAGTTGCAGCGTCGAGGGGGACACGCGCTGGTTACACCCAAGCCGCACGCAACCGCGCGCGTGCGCAGAAGCAGTGATACGCCAGGGTTCCTCACCACAAGAAAGAAACTCGGACCAAAGTTTCACAATGTTAGCTGCCAAACAGACAATCTTGTAGAAAGCGCTACAGCGCCACCAGCTGCAGCCAAGACGCCCGGGAACACACACTCCATAGGTCTTCGAGTCCTAGGGGCTGCCCTCTTTTCGTTGCAAGCACAAATGGGCGTGTTCCAGCAAGCAGTGTTTGCGGAAGAGTTTCCAGCATCAACGGCCACACAGACGCAGTATTCAGGCGCCGTATAGAGGCAGGGAGGCCGGAAGGACGCGTTGGTTTCACCACAGCAGCAATCTGGCCAAATGGCGTGGCGCCACCACCTGCAGCCAGTGCCCAGGCGCGCGTTTTGCAAAAATCCACAGAAATCAGGGGCGCCTGCGTGCTGTCAAGTTGCGGGCAAGAAAAGCAAGAAGGGCGTGTTGTCGGAAGAGCAGGCCTAGAAAGCTCACAGTGTCACCAGATGCAGCGCATGCCCAGGCGCGCGCCCTGGCCATAGAGCCGCCCATGCAAGCGCAGGCGTGGCCAAGCAGAGGGGCATTCTGTTCGAGCAAGGCGTTGCGCCGAAGAATTCAAAACACAACCAGTTGAAAACGCGTTGCCCAGCCGCGCGTTCTAGTGAACTCAGGAGCGTCGCCGGAATCTGACGTAGCCGGCGCAAATCATTGGAGGAGCAGCGAGCAAGCAGTTCTGCAAAGATCATGCAGGGACGCCGCCTGCTGCACTGTGCGCAGGGTTCAGGCCACACTTACTTTGCGGGCTGAAGGGCATGTGACCAAACAAGCAGCGCCGTAGAAAAATAACGGCACAGACGGTGAAAGTGCCCAGGCATGGGCTTTGTGAAACTCAGGGGCGTGCGTTCTGCAAGCTTGAGTTTCCACACGGGATTGTCCAATAATTTGCAGCTCCGCCAGCGCAGGAGCACGCGCTATAACTTACTTTTGTATAGTGGTTTCCCTGGTTTCCCTTTAAGGGTTTCTGGTGATTTCTGCCCGGGCTGCTGGGCTGATGGCTGATTTGATTGAAGACAGCTGGTTCATTCAAGCCTTCAGCCGTCTCTTATTATTGCTGTGCCACATCCTGTTAAATTAAATTTTAAACCATATCGGTAATCAGGCGCGCCAGGTGAATGAGCCGTCGTATTTAAGTGACCAATTTATCAGCTGATTCTCAGACTCAGAGTCCGTGTCAGCTTTACCCCGCCCCATCATCATCCTGCCAATCAGGTTTTCCACAAAAAAACAAAGCCTTCGCTGCTGATGTGTGTGTGGGTGTCATGTGTGTTTGTCGCGCGTGTGTGTGTGTGTGTGTGTGTGTGTGTGTGTGTGTGTGTGTGTGTGTGTGTGTGTGTGTGTGTGTGTGTGTGTGTGTGTGTGTGTGTGTGTGTGTGTGTGTGTGTGTGCATCTGCAGGGCCAGTGGTTGTTTGTGTGTGGGTGTGTTGTCTTCCAAAGCTGTTCATCCAACTAACTGTTATACGTCCAAGTTTACAGTGCGCTGAATGTCAGCTTTCCAAACTTTCACAAACACGAACTCAAATCTTGAATTGGGAACCCCAAGTTGTCCTAAGTCAACATTGCAAACACTTTTTTGAAGTCGACCTGCCAAGTGGCAAATGTTTCAAGACACGTGTCAGCCATTGTCACTTTTCCCGCGGCGAGGTGTGTCAGCCATTGGTCTCAAAAACCACATCCTCAATTGTTAAGGAATCGGTTGGTCATTCTGACATCACTGTCAAGCACGATCACTGAGTTGAGCTTCGCTGGGATGGGTTTCGCTTTGGGCTTGCTGGGTCAGTCTTCCGGGTCTTGTTCTTCTCATCTTGCTCAAGTAGCGCTTCATCTTTCAAGTCATACTTCCTCGTCTTGGTCTGGGCCCGCGCAGGAGCGTAGGAAGATTTCACGGCTGGAGTGTCGTAGGAACATGTCGCGGCGGTCATCCTCAGATGAAGTGAGCACAACAACAAGGTTTCTTAAATGAAACTTACATTGAAACCAGCAACGACATAAGTTTTAAAGCCATGGAACTTGGGGTACTCGGTCTCGTCCCCCTTTTCTGCTGACATCTTGTATCTATTTCCCAACCATTGGCGTCAGTGTCGCTTCGAAGGTTGTTCAAGTCAAAGGCCATCTCGCGCAAAAGAACTTGAAGAGCAGGGGGTAAGCAGCCATTGCCTCGTTGAACTGAATGAATGTCCAAGGGCATCGGTCTCGGTCTTGGTCGTAGCGAATCGTTTCGAAATTGCTCTGAAATGGCCAGATTCAAAAACAACCGACATACAGACATACAGCTTTTCTTTTTCCGCCCACTGTCATCTCTGTCTAATTGAATTACAAACTGGGTCTTTCGGCCGCTTTAATGCCAGAAGTACTCCAGTTTCTTCATCTCTTCTATGCTCTTAGCGTCGCACTCACAGTCGCTGCTGATAGAAGCCATCATTGCCATTGACTTCCTCAGCCCAAGGAAGTCAGCGCAATAATGAGGAGTTGTTAGATAGTTTCTTCTGCCGCTTATTTGATTGAAACCTGTACTGTCATGAATCATTCCATCACTCATCACTTGAACATGTCAAGTTTCCGGTCATCGGCTATCCATGGACTGACCCATGGCATCCAGCACGAGAGACAAATCCGCTCACAAGCCACAACTTCAAGCAGCTGGCGCCGGTGCTTCTTCCTGGCAATCTTTGCCGCCGCTTCAGCCGCAACAAGCAACTGGCGCTGGTGCTCCGTCCTGGCAACCTTTGCAGCTTCATCATCAGTTTCGGATTTCCCCATTGCCGCAGATGACGTGATCACGACGTTGATCGATACCCCCGAAACTGAACTTGGGCCAAACTTCAGCGACCAAACCTGCTCAGCATGCATGTTATGGGTGAAACGTCTCTGGTTGACTGAAATGATTAGCCCGCAGTAACCCGGAAATTCAATTCCGGGCTTCCGCGGGCTGTCATTCCAGAAGCATGTTAAGCCCGACTAATCCCAGCGCATGCCGCTGCAAGGGCTTGGTCGGGCTTTAACATGGCTCCAGCTGCTGCAAAGACGGACGCTGGTCTTTTTGGCGCGCCCAGTTTGACATTGAGTCTCGTCTCCAGTTCGTTCGGATTCCAGCTAAGCAGTGCGCAGCAACAAGGCTAAAACAGGCCTGACGCCTGATGGATTCCGCGCGACCTTAATTTCATTCACAAAAATATGAGAACATTTTGAAGTTGGGTCCCATTTCTATTTTGAATAATAAGCCTAGGCCGGCAACCAACAATCATTGAACTTACTCAGTTCCACTGCCACCTTGGACGATTCATCTGCAGGCCACGGTCACTGCAACGACGCGTCGGAACATCTTGCGCTCCTCGTCGAGTCGTTGCCACTCCTCACTCAGTTCAAGGAGGATCTCCTGGCCTGTCCTGAGCGTGACAATGAAAAAACTAAACTACATAAACAAAACACAGCAATGGAAAAACACATGTTAACAATCAATGAAATCAAGACTGAGAAACCCTGGTTGCACAGCAGCCAGACTGGCCTTCCCCAAGCCTTGGGGGCGTTGTGAAGTGTCAAACAAACCATCACTGTTTAAAAAATACATCTAAAATCGTAAAAACGAAGCAACAATAAATAACTTTAAACAAGACAAGGATCATTTGACGTCAATGCCGAGGCTGGTGTGGCAATA